ACATTTCCTAGCCAAGTCAGGGAACTTTCAGGATTGGAGACCTGTAAATCTCCAAGGTCATTTCCTTTTTTATTTTATTTTTTTACCAAGAGGTTGTGCAAAGTGTTCTGAGAGCTGGGAGCAGAATGTGATCTCAGAAGTGGGTGGAGCTGGCAGATGGAAGCCAATGGTGTGTGCGGATGTGCCTTGGAGGGAAGGAATCTTCACTTGGTGCCCCTCACTTCCCTGTGGTTCCCCCAAGACTGTAGGGCTGGCAGCCTTGTGGCCTAGGGGTCTGGGAAGGCTCTCGCTTTTGGGGAATGGAGCTTTGGTGAACCAAGCCCCTCCATTAAGCTGAAGGATGCTGAGGGGCCACTGAGGATGGAGGGCAAGAACTGAGAACAGCATGTCAGAAGACCAAGCAAGAGAGGCAGAAATGAGGGGGTCGCTGTCGTAGTGGGGGAAGCTGACATGGCCAAGAGATGGCAGAGTCTGAGGTGTGCCACTAAAGAGCTCTTGGCTACTTGGTGTATGACTCTGGGTGAGTTGCTAATAACAGAATCCACCACACAGGCTTATTGTGAAGACTAAATGAGATAAAGCTTATGAAGCCCCTAGCACAGTACCAGACAAAGCAAGAAAGCTGTTTTTAAAGGCAGCTATTTACTCTGATCCTTGGACAATTCCAGCCGGAACCCTGTTATTTTATCTTCTATTCTGGGCATGTATAATGTAGAATTCTCCGTTGTAAGCTACAGAAACCATTTTAGGAGGATTTAAGCAGAATGAATTGATTTAAAAGATGTTAGACGCCGGGCGCGGTGGCTCAAGCCTGTAATCCCAGCACTTTGGGAGGCCGAGACGGGTGGATCACGAGGTCAAGAGATCGAGACCATCCGGGTCAACATAGTGAAACCCCGTCTCTACTACAAATACAAAGCATTAGCTGGGCATGGTGGCGCGTGCCTGTAATCCCAGCTACTCCGGAGGCTGAGGCAGGAGAATTGCCTGAACCCAGGAGGCGGAGGTTGCGGTGAGCCGAGATCGCGCCATTGCACTCCAGCCTGGGTAACGAGAGCGAAACTCCGTCTCAAAAAAAAAAAAAAAGATGTTAGAAAAGCTCATAGAAGGTCTGAGAAGGCTGGAGAGTGAGGCTTGAACCAGATCAAGGGAGGCTGGAAGTAGACAGGACCATGGCCAAATATCACACCCCGGACCAGCCCTGTGCAGACTCTGCAGCCTCCCCTGAACCCCCTTCTTTCCTCCACTACCCTGGAAGCCGGATGTGGCACCACAGCCTTTGCTATAGAGAGGAGTCTCCACGGACCTGCCGACTCAGTGGCTTTTTTTTTTTTTTTTTTTTTTGAGACAGAGTTTAGCTCTTGTTGCCCAAGCTGGAGTGCAATGACACAATCTCAGCTCCCTGCCACCTCTGCCTCCCAAGTTGAAGCAATTCTACTCCCTCAGCCTCCAGAGTAGCTGGGATTACAGGCATGTGCCACCACACCTGGCTAATTTTGTATTTTTAGTTGAGACAGGGTTTTTCCATGTTTGTCAGGCTGGTCTTGAACTTCCAACCTCAGGTGATCTGCCTGCCTCGGTCTCCCAAAGTGCTGGGATTACAGGCATGAGCCACCACACCTGGCTTTTTTTTCTTGTTGAGACGGAGTCTCATTCTGTTGTGCAGGCTGGAGTGCAGCAGAGCCATCTCAGCTCACTCAGGCACATGCCACCACACCTGGCTAATTTTTGTAGCGATGGGGTTTCACCATGTTGGCCAGGCTGGTCTTGAACTCCTGATCTCAAGTGATCCGCCTGTCCCAGCCTCCCAAAGTGCTGCGACTACAGGCATGAGCCACCATGCCTGCCTATTTTTTTTTTTTTTTAAGAGACAGGGTCTTTCTCTGTTACCCAGGCTAGAGTGCAGTGGTGCTATAGTAGTTCACTGTACCCTTAGATTCCTGGGCTCAAGTGATCCTCCTGCCTCAGCCTCCTGAGTAGCTGGGACCATAGGTGCAAGTTGTCATGCCCAGCTACGTTTTGTAGTTTTTGTAGAGATGAGGTCTTGCTTTGTTGCCCAGGCTGGTCTCAAACTCCTGGGCTCAAGAGATGTGGCTGCCTTGGTCTCCTGAATTGCTGGGATTACAGGTGTGAGCCACTGCACCTCGCCATGCCCTTGAATTTAACTTTTGCCTCTTGGGGCCTCTAGATTAGAAGATAGAACTTTCTAGGGTCAGGAGATCTGAGATGGGACCAGGAGGAGAAAAATGCGTTTGCTGTGTCTCTGTGAGATCAGGGGCCTGCTCTGTTCTCTGTTTCATTCCATATCCTTCTATATTGCCTGTTCTTGTCTCTGCCTGCTCCTGTCCCTACCTGTCACCATCACTGTCTGTCATCATCAATACCTGTCTCCATCTCGGCTTGTCTCCCCTCCACAGAAGCCCCACTCTGTCCAGCCTTTGAACCCTACTCTGTCCTTCTGCCCAGCCATCTGGGTTATTAGAGAACAGAAATAACAGCCTCCCACCTCCTCACATACACATCCTGAAATTCCAGTAGCCCCAGTTCATTGCAATCCACACCAGAAGGTTGTCCTCCAGAGTTGCCACAGGTAGGCAAAGCTGAGTGGTTAGTACCCCCTTGTCAGGCCTTGCAGGGCCCCCAGGCCTGCCTGCCCCCACTTCCTATCTGTGGCAACTTCAAATGTAACACCTTCCTGCCATCTCTCACTCCCACCGGGGCCTCAGCCACAGGCAGCTGTTGCCTGGCTGCCCACCTCCTTCCTTCCCAGCCAGGAGCACTGCTGCAGCGCCAGTGGAGAGCCCCACAGCCAGCGGCCCTTCGGGGGCCACGGTATTTGCTTTGAGACCTGAAGCAGCATTGGGAGGAGTGAGGAAAGAGGGAAAGAAGGGGTTTTGGAGGGCTGAGACACTGGAGTGAGGGTTTTAGGGTCTGAGGGGTGTTTGGGGTTCAAAGGGTGATCCCTGGGGGGACGGGGAAGGGATGTTAGGGCATTCACTGGGTTGGGGTGATCCCTGTGCTGTGTGGCCTCACGTGGAAGATGGCAGAGAAGCCTGTGCTGCGTGAGCCGACTGCTGGGCACTCCTGTCTTTCTGTTGGGCCAGTCGGGCATCTGGGGTCTTGGTCCACTCACTCAGGCTTTATTCCAGGTGAGAGCGTTGAGCCGGCCAGCCTGGGTGACAGGACACTGGTGTCCTCAGCTGTCCAGGAGAGCCATCTGGGTGCGCGAGTTTGCAATGTTCCCCATGGTGGGGGAGCCTCTGGTTGGTAGAGTCAGGGACCCTTCTCAGCACAGAGTGGGTGGCTTCTCTGCAGTCCTGAAGAAACTGGAAGGTTCCCTCGGATCTCTGCACTCACGTGGAAGTAACCTCCATGAGGACCTTCCTTTCTTCTCTCAAGACGGCTCTGCTCCTCACCTCTGATTGGCTAACCTCCATTGATTGGTTGATTGATTGAGACGGGGTCTTGCTCTGTCATTGCCCAGGCTAGAGTGTAGTGGTGTGATCTCAGCTTACTGCAGCCACAACCTTCCAGGCTCAAGCAATCTTCCTGCCTCAGCCTCATGAGTAGCTGGGACCACAGGCACAGGCTACTACACTCAGCTTATTTATTTTTTGCATTTAATTTTTTTTTTACTTAAAAAATTTTTTTAAAGACTAGTCAAGTGTAGTAGTGAGAAGGGGGGAAAGAGTAGAACAAGGAGTTCAATCTGTAACTGACTGTGAACAATCAATTGAGATAACTCACTACCTTCGGACCAGCTTATTTATTTATTTATTTTTGAGACTGAGTCTTACTCTGTTGCAGGCTAGAGTGCAGTGGCGAGATCTTGGCTCACTGCAATGTCTACCTCCCAGGTTCAAGCAATTCTTGTGCCTCAGCCTCCTGAGTAGCTGGGACTACAGGTGTGAGCCACCATGCTCAGCTAATTGTTGTATTTTTAGTAGAGACGGGGTTTCACCATGTTGGCCAGGCTGGTCTCAAACTCCAGTCCTCAGGTGATTCACTTGCCTGGGCCTCCCATTTTTTTTTTTTTTTTGAGATGGAGTCTCACTCTGTTGCCCAGGCTGGAGTGCAGTGGCACGATCTTGGCTCACTGCAACCTCCACCCCCCGGGTTCAAGCAATTCCTGTGCATTGGCCTCCTGGGTAGCTGAGATTACAGGCGTGCACTACCACACCCAGCTAATTTTGTTTTTCTTTTTTGAGACAGAGTCTTGCTCTGCCGTCAGGCTGGAGTGCAGTGGCACAATCTCGGCTCACTGTAACTTCTGCCTCCTCGGTTCAAGTGATTCTTCTGCCTCAGCCTCCCGAGTAGCTGGGAACACAGGTGCACACCATCACACCTGGCTAATTTTTGTATTTTTAGTAGAGACGGGTTTTCACCATGTTGGCCAGGATAGTCTCGATCTCTTGACCTAGTGATCCTCCGACCTTGGCCTCCCAAAGTGCTGGGATTACAGGTGTGAGCCACCAAGCCTGGCTTAATTTTGTATTTTTAGTAGAGATAGGGTTTCACCATGTTGCCTGGGCTGCTCTTGAATTCCTGACCTCACGTGATCCAACCACCTCGGATTCCCAAAGTTCTGGGATTACAGGCGTGAGCCACCACTCCTGCCATATTTTATTTTGTAGAGATGGGGGTCTCACTATGTTGCCCAGTCTGGTCGGGAACTCCTGACCTCAAAAGATCCTCCCACCTCAGCATCCCAAAGTGCTGGGATTACAGGCTTGAGCCACCGCACCTGATCTCTATTTAATCTTCGCACACCTCTCAGGAGAGCATCAATGGCTTCTCAATGTCAACACAGAGAATCCTTACACATCAACTAGTCCAACCTTCCCATTTTGCAGATAGGGAAACTGAGGCCAGGAAGGGAAGTGAATAGCTTGTGGTCACACAGCACATTAATGGGACAGCCAGTCGTGGAACTCAGACTCTTATTTGGAGGACCTTCACAGCTTACCTGTAACTCACCTGTCTTCCCAGCAGGTAATGGGGACATGAAGGAAGAACCAGCTGCATAATTGGGTTGTTGCCACAAGCCCAAGGCCCTGGGAGGTACAGAGGGCTTCCTATCCCCCAGCCTGGACTTCCAGCTCTTCCAAGGTGACCAGGTAAGGTAGAATCCCAGCTTTACCTTTGTGGGTAGTCTGCTTGTGGTAGGAGATGACATTAGGAGGAAGAAGGGGAATGTCTGAAGGGACGTAGACCTCCTCCCTAGTCCTGAGCACTCCCTAACCCAGGCACATCATAGGGATGTTCTCTTGAGGAGCCAGGGACCCTCTCCCCATGCCTCAGGTGGCCCAGACTCTCCTGTGGGGAATAAGAATAAGCCTTATGCAACAGGCTTGTCTGCTATGATCATGGCCTTGGACCTTAGTAAGCAGGGGCTCAGGGCCGTCTTGTGGAGTTTATAGTCTCCAATGGGGATTTTCTTTGGGTTCACCTTGGTGCATTCAAATTACAGTGATGGTCTGAGATACACTGGGGACCAGGGTGATCAGAGGTGCATGGGGTCGGGGCAGGGAGTGAGAAGAGGGCTAGAGAGGCTCCTGGGGACAGGAGGAGGACAATCTTGCAGTGAGTGGGAAAATCCTGGGGGAAGAGAACTTTGGATAAGGGAAGGAGACGCGTTTGAGTGACAGATATGGAGTATGGTGGCTGTTTTCGCTTATTCTTCCCTTTGGAAACCAAAATAGGGGTGGGAGCCATCTAAGGGACCCATGGAATCCCAGTCACCAGCCCCCAAGCCCCTTGCCCCTGCCCTCCAGGTCTTCTCAGCCTGCAGACCACTTCCAGACACAGTGGATGCTCATGGCCCACCCTGTGCCAGCTGGCCGTGTCCCTTACCGCTGGCACTAGGCAGGTCTGCCCTGCTGGCCTGTCTACAGGACCTGGACCTGAACCCGTGCACCCCACAGCCAGCACCCCTGAGCACAGCCCTGCAGGGCCTCCAAGAGGACGCCTTGAGCATGAGTAAGCCCAGGGCACAGGGCTGCACCTGCACCTGGCAGAGGCTGGAGGTGGGGGGCACTGCTAGGTGTGGGGATGGGTAGTGGAGAGGACTCAGTGTCTCTGATGAAGACAGAGCCTTAGGCACACTTTACTTCTGTATTTTGGCCTTGGAGTTCTGACCTGAGGGTGCAGGAGGCTTTCGAGTGGTGGTACCTGAGCCAGGGGAGCTGAACACTGGCTTCTCAGGCATGTGTGTGGGAGGTGATGTAGGCATAGCCAAGGTCATGGGGGTTAGGATGGTGGTTTGTCTGCCTAGAGAGGTTTTTGTTTGTTTATTTGTTTGGTGGTGGTGTTGTTTTGAGATGGAGTCTCACTCTGTTGCCCAGGCTGGAGTGCAATGGCGTGATCTCAGGTCACTGCAACCTCTGCCTCCCGGGTTCAAGTGATTCTCCTGCCTCACCCCCTCAGAGTAGCTGAGATAACAGGCATATCACCACCATGCCCAGCTAATTTTTGTCTTTTTAGTAAAGACAGGGTTTTGCCATGTTGGCCAGGGTGGTCTTGAACTCCTAACCTCAGGTGATTCACCCACCTTAGGCACCCAAAATGCTGGGATTATAGACGTGAGCCACCATGCCCAGCCCGTTAGGCATCTTAGAAGAGCACTGAGCTGGGAGTCAGAGAATTGGGGTTGGAGTTCTGGTTCTGCCCTTTCTGTTTCTGTGGACCTGGGCACAAGACCGAGGTCTGGTTTCTTCATCCGCAAGAGTGGGCTCTCAGCTATACCTGTGTTCTAGGTTTGTTGTAACACACCACTTCCTTATGTGATGATGACCTCCTGGAGGGCACGGACTCTCCTGCTGTGTCCTTTATTTCTAGGACCCCAGCACAGAGCACAGAGTGAAACAGCTCAGTGAGGTTGATTGAGTAACTAAATAAGGATCCAAGCAGAAGATAACTTGCTTTTTTTTTTGAGATAGGCTGGAGCGAAATGACACAACCACACCTCACTGCAGCCTCCAACTCCTGGGCTCAAGCGATCCTGTCTCCTCAGCCTCCTGAGTAGTTGGGACTACCATAGACATGTGCCACAAACACCCGGCTAAGTTTCTTATTTTTTTGTAGAGATGGGGTCTTGCTTTGTTGCCCAGGCTGGTCTCAAATTCCTGGGCTTAAGCAATTCTCCTGCCTCAGTCTCCTAAAGCACTGTGATTACATGCATGAGCCACTGCACCTGGCTGACAGTTTACTTTTTAATAGGTTTTTCATTTTAGTACTCTTTATCTATCTAGAATACCACTGTTTGGCCGAACTCCCTGCAACAATGGGAACATTCTATACTGGTGCTGTCCAATATCATATCTGCTGAGCACTGTAAATGTGACGGGTACAACTGACGAACTTCATCTTTTATTATAATTTTTCTTTTTTTTGAGACGGAGTCTCGCTCTGTTGCCAGGCTGGAGTCAGTGGCATGATCTTGGCTCACGGCAAACTCCACCTCCTGACTTGAAGCAATTCTCCTGCCTCAGCCTCCCAAGTAGCCGGGATTACAGGCATGCACCACCACACCCAACTAATTTTTTAATTTTTTTTTTTTTTTTTTTTTTTTGAGACGGAGTTTCGCTCTTGTTACCCAGGCTGGAGTGCAATGGCGCGATCTCGGCTCACCGCAACCTCCGCCTCCTGGGTTCAGGCAATTCTCCTGCCTCAGCCTCCTGAGTAGCTGGGATATAGGCACGCACCACCATGCCCAGCTAATTTTTTGTATTTTTAGTAGAGACAGGGTTTCACCATGTTGGCCAGGATGTTCTCAATCTCCTGACCTCATGATCCGCCTGCCTTGGCCTCCCAAAGTGCTGGGATTACAGGCATAAGCCACTGCGCCTGGCCCATTTTTTATTAGAATCATTTTAATTAATGTAAATCAAGTCACATGTCCAGTGGCTGCTATTTTGGACGCAGCATATCTAGTCTCACCCTTGTGTGATCTTATCTGTACTCAGGGCACCCAGATTTATGTCTCCAGCTCAGACTCCTTTTTTTTTTTTTTTTTTTGAGACAGTCTTGCTCTGTTGCCCAGGCTGGAGTGCAATGCCAGATCTTGGCTAATTGCAACTTCTGCCTCCTGGGTTCAAGTGATTCTCCTGCCTCAGCCTCCCAAAAAGCTGGGATTACAGGTGTCCACCACTTTGCCCGGCTAATCAGACCTTTCCTTTAAACTACAACCCAATTTATCCATCTGCCCACCTGATTTCTCAACCTGGGTGTCTAATAGGGACCTTGAACTGTTTTCTCCCCCTGAAATTATTCGGCACTGCAGAAATGCTAGCAGGCTTGCAGGCTGGAGGTCTTTCTCAGTCCCGAGCTGGGCAGGTTTGATGGGGGGGGGGGTTGATGGGGAACAGAACTTCATCCCAGACTGTGGGGCTCTAACCACCTTTCTTTTCCTGCTTAGAACACCAGCCACCAGGGCTGCATACCAGATCCACCGATGATAAGAAACTCACTGTCAAGCACCCATGGAATAAGGACAAGATGGGAAAACAGCCAGAAAGAGCTGGCGAGGGGGACCCCTGCCAAGCCTTCTTGCCTCATGACAGCTCTTCCCCACCACCACTGCAGAATAAAAAGAGCTCCAGACCCTTGGCTTTCTGCCCCTGCTCCCCTGCCACCTCCATCTCCAGGGAGCTCCCATTCTGCCTCCAAACCTTCTACTCTCCATACCCACTTCTCCTGCCTCCACCCTACCTGGTCACTTATGGAGCCCTACCTTCTGACCAATGTCCCCACCTCCTCATGCTGCCCCAAGACACCTCCTACCCCACCATGGCTATGCCTAGCCTGATGATGATGGTCAATGAGGCTGGGCACCACAGCGCTGTGTGGAAGACCCTGCTTTCTTACCCAGGGGCCTTCCAAGCCTCTGGCCAAGCCCTACCTTCCCAGGCCCGAAATCAAGGCACTGGAGCTGCCCCAACCGACTCCCCAGGCCTGAAGCGTGGTGGCATGGCATCTCCAGCAAGGCAGGCCCCTGTGCGTTCCCGGACAGGTGCTGCAGCCCTGCCTTACCCGCTGAAAAAGGAGAATGGCAAAATCCTGTACGACTGCAACGTATGTGGCAAGAGCTTTGGGCAGCTCTCCAATCTCAAGGTATCTGCCTCCTGGGCTCTGCTGCTCCCTTCGATGTCCTTCAGGGCCCCCCATACAACTGATTCTAGAAGCAAGGACCTCAAAGCTAGAAGGCATTCCTGGGTAGCCTCTAGGGCCTAGTGACCTGGGATGGTTCATTTGGGTGGAGACATAGGATAAGATGGCCACCAAAGTCCTCGCCACTGCCTATGAGATCATCTCATTTAGATTAAAATGGGGAGACTGGCTGGCATGGTGGCTCACGCCTATAATCCCAGCACTCTAGGAGGCTGAGGCGGGTGGATCACGAGGTCAGGAATTCGAGACCAGCCTGGCCAACATGGTGAAACCCCCTCTCTACTAAAATTACAAAAATTAGCTGGGTGTAGTGGCATGCACCTGTGGTCCCAGCTACTTGGGAGGCCGAGGCAGGAGAATGGCTTGAACCCGGGAGGCAGAGGTTGTAGTGAGCCGAGATCACGCAACTCACTTCAGCCTGGGCGACACAGCAAGACTCCATCTTAAAAAAAAATGGGGAGACTGAGGCTTTTAATGGGCAGCGTTTGCCTAAGATTACCCCGATTTAATGGTAGTGTTAGGTTTAGTCTCTCGACATTTGCTCTGAGCAAAGAAAGCCCTTTCCTGGACAACCATCCTTTCTGGACTCCCACTTAAGCTTCTTATTTATTTTTTTGGGCAGTCGGATGAGGGAACGGGTGGATTTTGGTGAGTCTAGACCACAGTCTGATGGCCAACCTTTTTCAAATGGGATTCCCACAAATCCCGATGCGATTGGCCTCACCATACGCATCGCCCAGCAGGGGGCGCCCAGGGGAGCATCACAGTGCGTTAGCAAAGGCCGGAAGTTGGGCACTTGCTGGCTGGCGCTGAAGTTGAGGGCACTTTGTGGTTACAGGGAAAAGCCCTACTGGATCCTGCAGGGCAGGAGTTCTTAAACTTCCATGAGCCTTAGACCACCTGGAGAGCTAGTAAAGATGCAGATTCCAAGAGTTTTTGCGATCCTCCCACCTCAACCTCCAGAGTAGCTCCCAGCCGCAGTGTTATTTTTTATTTTTATTTATTTTTTCATATGGGGTCTCATTCTGTTGCCCACGCTTGTCTCAAACTCCTGGGGTTAAGGGATTCTCCCACCTCATCCTCCCCAGTAGCTGGGACCACAGGCATATACCACCACACCTGGTTAATTTTTAAATTTTTTGTACAGAAGGGGTCCCACTGTGTTTCTTGGGCTGGTACTGAACTCTTGGGCTCCAGTGATTCTCCCTCCTCAGCCTCCCAAAGTGCTGGATTACAGCCATGAGCGTGTGCCCAGCCCTCCCAGAGTTTTTTATTCAGCAGGTCTGGGGCCGGGCCTGAGAACCTGCATTTCTAACATGCTCGCAAAGTGTGATACCAGTGCTGCTGGTCTGTGGACCACATTTTGCATAGCAGTGCTCCACAATACACCTGGGGTGCCTTTTACCTGGCCTTCTGACCACTGCCATCTCCCCTACAGGGCAGCAGAAAGAGTAGAAGTATCCTGGGGATGATGGGCCCTGAGGGAGATGACAGGGAGGGAGAGGGATTGAGAGGCCTGGATGCCAATAAGGGAAGTGGGCAGAGTTTCAGAGAGGACCTCAGGCCCTGCTGGGGGTGCTGGGCACTTGGCAGCCTTTCTCCCATGTCTGACTCAGGTCCACCTGCGTGTGCACAGCGGGGAGCGCCCATTCCAGTGTGCCTTATGCCAGAAGAGCTTCACCCAGCTTGCCCACCTGCAGAAGCACCACCTGGTGCACACTGGGGAGCGGCCCCACAAGTGCCCGGTGAGATCCTCCTCTCCCTGCCCTGTACTCCTATAGGCTGATGAGGAGTTTTAGGCCCTTGGAAGGATGGCACCTGCAGCCTCCATTCCCCCGTCCTCCTGACCAAGTGGAGATGGGAAGGGTGGTGAAAATTAAAAATGATCCCTCAGCTTGGAATGGGTAATACCGAAGGTCACTCCAAGGGCCTGGAGGAGGGAATTGAGATGTATGTCTCTGGGGAGAGAACAATGAAGCTGGGGGTCGGCAGGACGCGGTGGCTCATGCTTGTAATCCCAGCACTTTGGGAGGACAAGGTGGGTGGATCACAAGGTCAGGAGATTGAGATCATCCTGGCTAACCCCGTGAAACCCTGTCTCTACTAAAAAATACAAAAAAATTAGCTGGGCATGGTGGTGCATGCCTGTAGTCCCAGCTACTCGGGAGGCTGAGGCAGGAGAATTGCCTGAATCCAGGAAGCAGAGGTTGCACTGAGCCGAGACGGCTCCAATGCACTCCAGTCTGAGTGACAGAGTGAGACTCTGTCTCAAAAAAAAAAAAAAAGAGGAAGAAGAAGAAGTTGGGAGTCATGGAGAGTGGATACCCATTATCTACCTCCCAGAGTTGTTGGAGGAGTTAATGCTATAGTGTACCCAGAGTATCCAAGTAGAAAAACCATTAGATCGATGTTAGCTTTCACATTCCGTGAGCTGGCCACATCCCTTGGGAAGTCAAAAGGGTAAGGGTTCTTTCCCATTTTACAGGGGCAGAAATGAAAGTGGATGGAGTCTGGGCTGCAGAGTCAGGCCACCTGTGTTCAAATCCCAGCTCTCCTTTTTTTTTTTTTGTTTTTTTTTTTTTTTTTTGAGACGGAGTTTCACTCCTGTTACCCAGGCTGGAGTGCAATGGCGCGATCTCGGCTCACCGCAACCTCCGCCTCCTGGGTTCAGGCAATTCTCCTGCCTCAGCCTCCTGAGTAGCTGGGATTACAGGTACGCGCCACCATGCCCAGCTAATTTTTTGTATTTTTAGTAGAGACGGGGTTTCACCATGTTGACCAGGATGGTCTCGATCTCTCGACCTTGTGATCCACCCGCCTCGGCCTCCCAAAGTGCTGGGATTACAGGCTTGAGCCACCGCGCCCGGCCCCCAGCTCTCCTTCTAACTTTCTGTGTGACCTTTGGCTAGTGGCTTCACTCCTCTGAACCTCTGCTTTCTTACTATAATACAGGAGTTGTGCTAGTACTTAGTCATGCTTCCCCAGAGTCCTGGGGAAGACTAGGTGAAACCAATTGCAGGTATGTAGCAGCCCCCAGTAAATGTTAATTACATCCACTGAAGCTGCAGTTTCACACTTAAGAGTTCTACATGATTATCTCATTCAGTCCACCGTATCAATGAAGCTAGGTATTAATTACCAACGTTACCAATGAGGAGAGAAAGGCGGAAAGAGGAAAAGTTACTTTTACAAGGTCACACATGGAGTAAAAGAAGGACACTAACCCAAGTCAGCCTGGTTCTAATGTGCTAGATACTGTGGGTCCCAGGGAGAAATCACTGGAAAAGCTTCCAGGCCTGGAGGGAAAGAGAGGTGGGTTATGGGTATTTCCAAGATGCGGAGAGGGAGCAGAACACCTGAGCCAGCCCAGAAGACAAAGCTGATGCCAGTGCCTGTTCCCATCAGGTGTGCCACAAGTGCTTCAGCAGCTCCAGCAACCTCAAGACCCACCTGCGCCTGCACTCGGGGGCCCGGCCCTTCCAATGCAGGATCTGCTGGAGTCGCTTCACTCAGCACATCCACCTGAAGCTGCACAATCGGCTGCATGCCCCACAGCCCTGTGGCCTGGTGCATACTCAGCTGCCTCTGGCCCCTCCGGCCTGCCTTTCCCAGTGGCGCCAGGGGGCACTAGATCTTTTGGCGGTGGCATCAGAGAAACACATGGGCTGTGACATAGAGGAGGTCAAGGTGTCCTTGACATCCCAGGGGAAAGCAAGAGCAGTGAGCCCCCTGAGCAGTGCCAGGACTCCCCTGGGGAGGGGGCAGGAGCAGAACAATTAAAAACATTTCTTCTTTAATGCACTGAGGCTTCCTGAACTTCAACAGTTGGGGGGGGGGTGGGGCAGTGGGGGAAAGACACCGTATATTTGCCAGACTTCACACTTCACCTGGGAGCAGGTCAGGGGACTCAGCTGGGAAGAGCCTGTGCCACCTGTGCATGCGGTGGGTGCCTGCAGCCATCTGCCTCCCCTGGGCTTGGGTTCCATGCCCCATCTAGGACCAGGCCCTCCTTGTCTACTCACTGACAGCCAGTCAGCCTTCCAGTGGGCTGTAGGGTGCTGACCGTGCTGCCCAGCATGGGTACATTATGCTGTTCCCAACACCTGAGAGGGTCCTACTGCCCCCACCACCTGGGTCTCACCATTCCTATGTTGCCACATGCCCCTCAGCCGGTACTCCCTGCATGGTCATTGTGGGGGTACCCCTCATCGCGGGGGTATCGAGGAAGGAGACTCAAGATATCAGCGTCCACTCACGACCCAGAAGCATGATGCCCTCTGTGAACCGGGGCCAGTTACCACAACACTCTGGGCTAACAGGGTGCCAGGCTCAGGGAAGGCGTCGAGGCTGCAGCCAGATTAGGGCTACAGGCAGAAAGGAAGTGGCAGAGACCTTGGGGAGCTGAGACCTGCCTGATGGCTCTTCTCCCTGCAGGCCCAGAGGATCCTCTGAAATGTGCAAGGTGCTCCCCATCCCCACTCGAGTCAGGGAGGCAGCGCCAGGCGGAAAAGGGTACTGCCTGGGAGGCAGGAGGCCCAGGTTAGGATCACAGTCGACGATAGCTGTTATTAAGCGATTTGCGGAGAGTGGGGTTCTCCGGCTGACTTCCGGGAGGTGGCGCCGTCCGCACCCAGTGGGTTTTTGAGTGGGGAAGGGATTCCCGCTCTCGGCCGCAGGTGCTTCCCACAGGAAGGAGCGAACCCCACTGCCTGCGGCAGAACGGTGGCAGCAGAGTGGACTTCGGCCCCACCAGTAGCTAAGGTCCGGGTTCCAAGCCCACCCCCGTCACAACTTGGGCCCCGCGCGAGACACCAACCACTCGCGTTAGGCTCCGCCCAGTCGGGCAGACCACGCCCATTCCGGACACGCCCCCGGACTCGCCACCCGCGTCCAGCCCTCCTGCTCCTCCTGGAGCCCCCTCGCTCAGCGTCGCCTCCCGGCCTCTGTTCGCCCCGGGCCACTTTCCCTTTCCTGCTTCATGCAGGTCTTGCTCCCAGGCTAGCTTACCGGGGGCTGCATGGGGCCCTGGAGCCTCCAGGAGCTTGAAGATGTAGCGCGAACCCGGCGGAGAACAGGGGCTCCCGGGGTGGAGGCGTGGGCTCTTGCCAAAGGTCTTGGGTCTGCGGTCCGAGGTCGGGGGAGAACAATGAGGTTGAGGGGGCCCTGGAGAGTGCCCCAGGGCATGGGCAGCATCTGGATCGGGTCACCGCCCGCATGGGCTGCGGGTGGGGCCGCTGTTTGCTCAGGGGGGCCGGGCCGGAGGAGGCGTTTCTCCGCAAATGCAGCGGATGCGGGTAGCTCCGGCGGTCAGGTAGTCCTACGGCCCGAGCCCCGGGTCTTTCACTCGCCATGGCTGAGCGGTGTGGAGGCCCGAGGGCCTGCCTGGTCGGCCTCTTGGCCGGGCTAGGGGTCCGGAGAGAGCACAGCGGGAAGGAGACCTCGGAGGCCGCATACCGGGATAGGTGAGGGGAGATGGAGAAAGGCCGGGTGCTGGGTGGGCGCCCTCGGGCCCTAGAACGTGTGTGTGCGCGGTGTGTGAGCGTAGTGATCAAATAAGCATGTGTGTGTATCTCTCGAAGTATAAAAATATATGTGCTAATGTACTACGATTTTGGATGTGAATGTGGAACGGTCCTTGTGTTCTTTTAAAACTTTACAACTTAGGTGGACAATTTCCCAAGTCAGGCAGGCAGCCTGCAGACGGCAGAGACAGTTTACAGGCAAAAGCAGTAGTCCCTCCTGTGGACTTTGATTCTCACATCACAGCTGATGTCTTCATATCCCTTTGTCATGAGCCTGACAGATTCCGTCTGAGACTGTACTGCATTTGCCCTTAGATGCCACGGAGAGATTTTCCTCTGTTGTCCCCACCCCTGGAGATAGCTCTAGATAGTAATAACAGTAGGCCTTTATTTGCCACATGCTTCATAGCTTCGCCTGGATTATCTCACGTAATCCTCACAGCAGCCCTATGAAGCAGGTATTCTGCATGATTCAGATACGGAAATGACGGTTCAGAGAGCTGACATCACCTGCCCAAAGTCACACAGCTGGGATGTGGTGGAACCAGGACACAGGCTTCAGCAGTCTGACTCCAGAGCCCACATTTCTGAAGCTCTATTGCCCTCAGCAGGAAGTGGGGTGGGGGGCAGCTCCTTAGCTGTAGGTGCCACTGGTTATATGACCCTGAGCAGACTGCTTCACCTCTTCAAGCCTGTGCTCTGGTAGCTGATGTCTGAGGGGGTGTGTGTGTGTGAGTTAGAGTGTTGTGGCTGATCAAATAAGCATGTATGAGTATCTTGAAGCATAAAAATATATGTACCGGTGTACCACGATTTTGGATGTGAATGTGAAATGTTCCCTGTGCTCTTATATTTTTTATTTATTTAGTTATTCGTTTTTTGGGATGGGGTGTTGCTCTGTTGCCCACACCGGGGTGCAGTGGCACTATCACATCTCACTGCAGCCTCAGCCTCCCCAGTCTCAGGTGATCCTCCCACCTCAGCCTTCTGAGTAGCTGGGACTACAGGCACATGCCACCATACTTGGCTGATTTTTTGCAGAGACAGGGTTTCACCATGTTCCCCAGGCGGGTCTCAAATTCCTGGGCTTAAGCTATCTACCTTCTGCCTCCCAAAGTGCTAGGATTACAGATGTGAGCCACTGCACCTGGCTCTCTATTTTTTAACTGTTTTTTTTGAGATGGAGTCTCACCTGCCACCCAGGCTGAAGTGCAGTGGCACGATCTCAGCTCACTGCAACCTCCGCCTCCTAGGTTCAAACAATTTTCCTGCCTCAGCTTCCCGAGTAGCTGAGACTACAAGCACACGTCACCATGCCCAGCTAATTTTTTGTATTTTTAGTAGAGGTGGGGTTTCACCATGTTGGCCAGGCTGGTCTTGAACTCTTGACCTCCTGATCTGCCTGCATCAGCCTCCCAAAGTGCTGGGATTAAAGGCATGAGCCACCATGCATGGCTCCTTGTGCTCTTTTAAAACTACAGAAGGGAAAACATCCTGTGGAAGGTCTAGTCGAAAGGCGGGGAAAGCAGTATTGAGAATCCAAGGGAGCCCTGTAGCTCACTGGCCCTATATCCGTGAAGAGCATGGGGTGTGCTCTCATGCATGGGTGTTTATGTGTCTGCCCAGTTACTCGGCAATTTGTTCTGATCTTATCATGGCACAGCTGTCTTCAGCCAGGAGGGGTGGGGGTGTGGTGGGGGCAAAATGAGGGCAGGGGTTTGTACTGCTCTCTCACCCTAAAGAGAGAGGAGAGGAGGGCCCAGCCACCCTATGTCTGGAAGCCTGGGTGCCCTGGGGTGTCCACACCCTGCCAGTGCCCTGCCCGCCCCCGCCTGGAAGACACGCCCTCCCCCTTTACCCTGTCTGGCAGAAACCTGCCCTATAGGCCCAGGTGGCACTGCCCTTCCCTCTCTGGACTCAGAGGTGCAAATGAGTCAGGGGTGGGGAGGGTTGGGAGGGACTGCTCAGGCTCCCGGCAGAGCCAGTGTGATGATTCTTGGCCATGCTGCACTTGCTCTCCATTTTCACCAGCCCTGGGAATGGGACCCTGGTGCCAAGGCAGGGGCCTCTGATCCCTGCTGATTGCTGAGGGTACAGAGTGTGCAGAGGAAGAGCCAAGGCGCTTTCCCACCTGGCCCCCATTCGTGCCCTGGTGTCCAGCCAACCTTTGCAGTGGAGTCTAAGCAAGTCATTTCACCTCTCAGGGCCTCACTTTCCGTATCTAAAAAACATGGGACGCTAATATTCACCTTCTAGGATAACTGTGAGGCTTGGGGGAGATCATGTAGGCACAATGCCTCGTGCCAAGCCTGGTACACAGGAGGGCCTCAGCAAATGGCCAACTTTTGCATTATCGGGCACTGTCTTTCCCTGTATCCAAGCCCCAATACAGGCCCAGTCCCCATTTTGCATCCAAGCCCATTCCTGTCTCTTTCTTTGCCTCTGGGGGTAAAGTGGACAGCTGGGAGAGGGAGCAGAGAGGAGGCTGCCACATAGATCTTCCCCAAAATATTTTAGGAATTCATCCTGCTGGGCTGTGGGCCCTGAGAAAAGGTTGGGGGAGAGGACTCTGAGTCACAGCTGGGGCTGATGGTGTTGGGACAGGGGGCAGCTACTTCATTCTCTTCCCCCTGTGTTTCTTTCCCAGGTCTCGGGGTCGCCGGAGCTGCTCTGACCTAGCCCAGCGTACCACCAGCAATGTCAGCCCCAAGGTAGGAGAAAATCCAAAAGGGAGTGGGGAGGGCAGGAGCTCTGGGAGGGCTGAGCAGGCCGTGAGAAACTGGACCAAAAGTCAGACAACTGGAGCTCCAGGCCTCCCTCTGCCACTGATCCACGGTGTGACCCTGGCAGATCGCTCCCCTACTTGAAACCTCAGTGTTCCCTTCTGCAAAATGGGGACAATAAGCCGGGCGCGGTGGCTCAAGCCTGTAATCCTAGCACTTTGGGAGGCTGAGGCGGGTGGATCACGAGGTCAAGAGATCGAGACCATCCCTGTCAACATGGTGAAACCCCGTCTCTACTAAAAAATACAAAAGATTAGCTGGGCATGGTGGCGCGTGCCTGTAATCCCAGCTACTCAGGAGGCTGAGGCAGGAGAATTGCCTGAACCCAGGAGGCGGAGGTTGCGGTGAGCTGAGATCGTGCCATTGCACTCCAGCCTGGGTAACAAGAGCGAAACTCCGTCTCACAAAAAAAAAAAAAAAAAAAATGGGGACAATAATGCCCCACTCTCAAGGCTGTTGTGGGAAATAAAGTGATGGATATGGAACATCCCACATGGATGGGGCCTGGACTTTCAGGAAATGTGACTTCCAAAAGCTGGGATTGTCTGGGGAGGGATGCGGGGGCAGAGGGGCCCCATTTCTCTCCATCTTCTTCTTTGGCCTAACCATCTTCCATCTTTGGTCACTTTTCCCCGTGTCCTGGCATGGCCCCTCAGGGGAGAGGCTTAACCTCCTGCCACATTTTCCTCATCTGCAGTGGGGACCTGAGCCCTGAACTGAACAGAGAGAGAGTGTTCTGCCCTGGGAGGAGCGAGGGCAGCCTCCTCTGGCGGTCGCTTAAGCAGCCGTGTGTCTATCTTGGGTCTTGAATACCATGAGTAATTGCCAGTGTTTAATTGCCTACTTATGTGTTGGGCAGTCTACATGGACTATCTTGTACCATCGGTACTATACTCCCGGGAGGCAGGTACTGTTATTATCACACCCATTTTCCACACGAGGAAACTGAGATGCAAATGGTATTGCAGCTGTTACAGGAAGTAGCAGGGCTGGGATTCAAGCAAAAGTTGCCTCGATCCAAGCCTCCAGGTTCATCACGGTACTCCTGTCTCTTGAGGAGGTCAGCCCCTGGGGAATGAGAGGCTGCATCTGTTTCATAGAGGAGTGAATGAAGGCATTTAGCATCAAGGACCCCTGCTAGGAGGAATTTTGACCTTCTCTGCTGCCAAGAACACAGCCGGTCTTTTAAAATGGGTGGTTTAGGGGGCAGTGTCTGGGTCTGGGGTGCTGAGCCCTTTCCCCTTATCCCCACAGCCAGGCTGGACCCCAGGGGAAGAGAGCAGAAGAGGTCAGGTGTTGTCCAATTTCAAGGTGGTGTCCCATTTCAAGGAAACCCTCTTCTCTGGCTCCCTTATGTCCCAGGTACATCCTCCCAGGTGTGCTGTTTTAAACTAGGAGGGTATGAGAGAGGTGGCCGCAGTCTCTCTGGTAGCCTGGGCTGGGCAGACGTCATGGGCGCTTGAGGCAGCCCTGGGATGGCTGCAGGCCTGGGGAAGCACCTCAAGACTGCAAGGAAGCTGGGATCCCCACCCTTTGGGAGGCATGGCCGGCCAGGCCCTGGGTGCCTTGTCACCTGGGAGGCAGTGTGGAGCCCTCACCACTGTGCAGTGTAAGCTTAGTCATGTCGCCGTCCTCTTTGGGCCACGCTTTCCTCTTGTGTGGAAGGGGAAGGGGCAAGTTAAATGCTGAAGGGCCTTCCCAGAGTTCTATTCCTTTGTCCGGCTCTGGTGGCCTTAGCAGCCACCCTGGAGTGGCTTACTTTGGTGTCAGAGCCCTGCCGAGCTTCCCTGTGACAGGAAAGGTGCCGGGTACCAGGGGTGCCTGGAGGTAGGGGGAGCTGTCACTCTGCCTCTCTCAATGCCTGCCTCTGTTTGCCCCCCAGGCCCAAGCCCAGAGCTGCTCAGAATGGGACATCCATGTAGGCGGCCCTGGTGATTTCTGGATTTGGAAGCGACAACGCATCTCAGGGCGTCCTGCTCAGTCCCTGGGGCGCCTACAGAGGCCAGCGGTGGGCAGCTCCTTCGACCTGGCCAGCCATGCCTCCGTGGGGCCTGAGAACCTGGCCCTGGCTGTGGCCTCAGAAGAGCCTGCTGGTGCCAGGCACCCCCCATCCCCAGGGCCTGCTCCTGGACATGGGGATCAGGGACCCTCAGGCTGTACCTGTCAGCAGTCCCCACCCACAGCCCCAGAGGTCCCTCTGAGACCTGAGTTACCCAGCAACCTGGAAGACGCACCCCTGTTGCCCCACCCTGCATCCTTCCCCAGGGCAGAGGGAACAAAGGGCAAGCCTGACACCCCAGGGACTGCCTTGCCAGAGCCTGCCCAGACCCTACACACATGTCCCTCCTCCAGGAGGACCCGCTACTACATCACTGTCACCCTGCTGGGGTACAGGCAAGTACCTGGGGAGGAGGGCGAAGAACCGGCCCAACCAGCTCCACACCCCTGCGGCCCTGAGGAATCCGAGGGCTGGTGGGAGCCTCCCCATGGGCCCCGCCCCATCACGGGGTGCTGGCCGGCCCAGCCCCAGGAACCCCAGCTGAGAGCCCAATCGCATCAGGGGAGCATGGCCCAGCGGCAGGAGCTCCAGGCTGGCTGGACACCTGGGTCCCCACATAGACTGTAAGTAGAGGTGGATCTCTGTGGGGAGATGGGAGGGGGAGACCAGCCTGGCCGCCCTATCTTGAGACTTTGCCTATTTCCTGGGCCTCTCCAGCTCCAGGCCCATTCATTCAGGACCCTGAGCCAACTCTGCCTCCCCTCCCTGCCTTCTTCTCCCTCCCTTTGTCCACAGGCTGCCTCCTGGAACCCACTGCTGCCCACCCCCACTGTCCATCTGAGGAAAGGGAAAGCCTGTCAGGGAGAGGATGGGCAGGAAGCGGGGGTCACCTTCTCCACAGCACACACCATTCCCCAGTTCTGTTCAGGAGGCCACAGACCCAGCCTGGGAATAGGCACCCAGCCTAGGTGCTGGGTGTCCTGGGGCAAGTTGCTTAACCTCTCTGGGCCTTGTTGTTAAGTGGATTTGGTAGCTAGAAGTGAGGAAGGAGGAAGTGGTTACAGGAATATACTTTGAACTCCAGAGAGTGGGGCTGCCAAAATTGCAGGGATGCTTATTAATTATGTTTCAGTGACAGCAGTAATTACCCCACCTGGCTCTGTGCTAAAAGCCAAAGGAGCAGGCGTCAGGTTTCCCAAGCTTTGTTTTATTTGTGTTGAAATGACTCTCCTAAATCTGCCTGGGGGGCTCAGAGGTGGAAGGATGTGTACCCCAAAGCTCACAGAGGAGGGATAAACATGGAACCTCCCTGGGATGACCCTGAAGAGCAAACGAGCCTGGGGCAGGGTTTTGAAGAGCTCTTCACGTGATGGGGTGGGTGTCATTTGCAATTTGTTTTCTAAGCATAATTTTATTTAATCTTCCCAACCATCCCGGGAAGTAGGGACTAATCCCACCCCCTCTAGGAGGCTCCGAAAGGTTAAGTCACTGGCTCAAAGTCAACTAGAAAGTGAAGGGACCAGAATCTGAACTTAGGTTTCTATAATTCCAGTGCCTGTGCTCTAGCAACTGCTCCGTCCTGCCTGGAAGAAGCCTCTTTGGGCCTGTGCAGAGAATGGAGGGTTAGGTGAGGTTGCTGTGTGGGCTCCAGGGTTTTCTGGTCTCCCATGGCAGTGGACTGGGCAGTGCTGTAGTAGCTGAGGCAGAATCAGGGATGCTGGGGGCCTCTGGGCGGGGGTCAGTGTGACTGGTTCCGTGCCGAGGAAGAGGGAGATGGAGGACCCAGGCTGGTTTTGAAACCTGCTTGGATGCCCCAGCAGTCAGGGGCTGGGGGAGAAGAGCTGCAGAGAGAGGGAAGCAGGTGGAGGAGGCTACCACAGAGAGGAGGACAGGAAAGAGAAGTGGGGTTAGCTGGGGGTATGTGGTTTCTATCTGCCACTACCTGGCTCTTTTGAACCCAGGTAGATAATGACAGACTCAGGTGGGAAGCTAGGGCTCACTGGTGGGAGGCAGGTGGACAGAGTGGAAAGCAGGTGACTTCTAGAAACATCATCCTTCTACATCCCCTTCCTGGGAGAAGGTTTTCTAGGCCAAGATTGGCAAATATGAGAGTCAGGAAGAGGTGGGACATAGCTGGGACTGCAAGGGGGAATGTGTAAGATACATGTGCATCCAAGCACGTGTGTCCATGTTCAGGGATAGGTAAATTTCAAAGGGAAGAGAGCCTGTGGCTGTGAATTGACTATGTGTGTATTTGGAATGTGTGCACATGTGTGTCGTTGTGTTTGTGTGTTTCTGTCTGTATGTATGTGATTTGTGTGTCTGTTGTGGCTCTGAGTGCCTGCGTGTGTTTGTATTTCTTGGGTGAGTGTGTGTGTGTGTAATGTGTGTGTCTGTGTGTGCGTGTGTGTGTGTGTGTGTGTCTCTCGTTGTGTATGTTTTTGTAGGTGTCTAGGGGTATCTCTGTGCCTGGGTGACTGTGGGTCTGTGTTGGTATCTGTGTATCTGTGCCTGCGTCTATGTGACACAGCATGTGTTTGCCTGCATGTGGGCCTATAGACTGGTTTGGCCTAGTTTGGGGGTGACTCACAGGTAAGTGGGGAGAATCCAGGACTTGTTGGGTTAGACAAGGCTCTTTCCCACACTCCCCCCGCCCCCTCCTCAGCCTCTCCCTTCCCAGCTCCACACACCTTGTTTGGAGGTCACAGGTCACGCTGCCAACAAATCCACTTCTGGTCTAGGGCCCTGCAAAAGAAAAGGCTCTGAGAATGGGCCTTTCTGCTGGCCCAGGAAAGGCATCCTGGGTCACTGCACTGGGGTATGTCTTCAGAGCAAGGACAAAAGGGGGCGTCTATAGGCAGGCACATTCCAGCAGAGTTTGAAGGACATTCTAGCAGTCATGACTGTTCAGGGACCGGGCAGGTGAACTGTCAAGTGGTGACCTCTCTGTCCCTGGAGGTATGCAGGCAGAAGCCAATGACTACATGCTTGTGGAATGACTGACTATCAGGGGTGTTGTCCAGGGGTTGGGTTGGTTGAGAAAGATGTTAAATTCTGATTGGTAGGTCATTGACAATATCTGATCTGAAGATCAGCTGCTTCCTTTAACGTAGCTCTCCTGTCACTTTGCTGATGCCTATGGCGCCTTCCAAATGTCCCTGTTTTTATGTCTAATTCCTTGGGCCCTGGTTTCTTAATATGCCACCCTTTGTGAGAAAGTTGACTCTGGTTGGGTCTAGCCAAGGTATAACCCATTCCCTTAACACAATTAGCACTGAATGAGTGAGAAATTAAATGAATGAATGAGTGAATGAATGAGAGCTCAGGCTTTGCCACTTACTGTCAGCATCATCAGGGACAAGGAAGGTCGGAGAGTGGGAGGCAGGTGGACAGAGACTTTGGAAGGGCTGGGTCAACAAGGGCGTCAAACTTCATATGCGGGGAGTCCCAGTGAGGAGGACAGGGGCTCCATGAGGAAAAGGGAGCTCCCTAATGGGGACAGGGAAGTAGGTTGGGGCCTCAGTGAGACGCTAAAGTCCAGAGCCTATGGTGTCTGGCTGTGTCTTGCTCTCAGGAAGCCCTGGCCTGGGGAAAGGACTATCTAAGCCAGGCATCCCCAAACTTTTTACACAGGGGGCTAGTTCACTGTCCCTCAGACCGTTGGAGGGCCGCCACATACTGTGCTCCTCTCACTGACCACCAATGAAAGAGGTGCCCCTTCCTGAAGTGCGGCAGGGGCCAGATAAATGGCCTCAGGGGGCTGTAGTTTGGGGACGCCTGATCTAAGCCCTCCACCTTCTATGCCTCCTTAGACCCTGTCCCTGACACTGTCATAGCCACCAGTGGTCTTGGAGATAGGTCAGGCTTCCCGGGGCCTCAGTCTCTTTTAATCTCTACCCCTCATAAAACCTGAGTCACTGCTGGGGCCACAGGGAAGGGTCAAAGTTCTGAATTCCACCAGCTTCACAGGAAGGAGGATAATGCGAGATGGGGGATGGGAGTGGGAACAGTGGGTCCATTTCCTGCCCAGAGTGGGGTCTCTGGGGGCTACCTCATAGAGAAGGCCCAAAGACTGGGGCCGAACAGGCTGGCCTCTCTGGGATTTGTGGGGTCTGAGAATAGGATTGCCCTGGTCAATGTGGCCTGGAAGTCAGGGAGTGGGGATGCAGAGCCCCTCCAGAGCTGACGTGGCTCCCTGTAAATGTAAATCCCCAAACCACAGGCTCAGTTTATAGGATACATATATTAGGGAGTTGGTATGGTGGGTAAGCCTTTAGGGTTCAGGTTCAAGTCTTGATTCGGCTACTCTGTGACTGGACAAGTTTCTTAACCTCTCTGAGCATTAAAAATAATCTCATCTTTAAAATGGGAATGTAAGATCTAATTAATAATTTATTCTTTTTTTTTTTTTTTTTTTTTGGAGACGGAGTTTCGCTCTTGTTACCCAGGCTGGAGTGCAATGGCGCAATCTCGGCTCACCGCAACCTCTGCCTCCTGGGTTCAGGCAATTCTCCTGCCTCAGCCTCCTGAGTAGCTGGGATTATAGGCACGCACCACCACGCCCAGCTAATTTTTTATATTTTTAGTAGAGACGGGGTTTCACCATGTTGACCAGGATGGTCTCGATCTCTCGACCTCGTGATCCACCCGCCTCGGCCTCCCAAAGTGCTGGGATTACAGGCTTGAGCCACCGCGCCTGGCCAATAATTTATTCTTTATGAGGTCTCAAGCTCATGGAATCCTTCTGAGGCTTCAGTGGGACAATGAATGTGAAGCACTTAGCAAGGTGTTTGGCAGAATAAGCCCTCCCCAAATGGCTGTGTTGTTGTTGTAGTAACTATTTATTTTATTTTATTTTTTGAGACAGAGTTTCGCTCTTGTTGCCCAGGCTGGCATGCAATGGCGTGATCTTGGCTCAACGGAACCTCTGCCTCCCAGGTTCAAGCAATTCTCCTGCCTCAGCCTCCTGAGTAGCTGGAATTACAGGCCTGTGGCACCTGGCCAATGTTTTTTTGTATTTTTAGTAGAGACGGAATTTCTCCTTATTGGTAAGGCTGATCTCAAACTCCTGACCTCAGGTGATCTGCCCGCCTCAGCCTCCCAAAGTGCTGGGATTATAGGCGTGAGCCACTGCACCTGGTGCTTAGTCCATTTTCTGTTGCTTATAATGGAATACCTGAACCTGAAGCTCAAGATCAAGGGGGTACATCTGGTGAGGACCTTGTTGGGGATTCTCTGCAGAGTCGTGAGGGAGCTCAAGGCATCCGTGGCAGGGAGGCTGAGGTGCTAGTTCAGGTCCCCCTTCCTCTTCCTATAAAGCCACTGGTCTGTCTGGGTGGCTCACACCTATAATCCCAGCACTGTGGGAAGCTGAGGCGGGTGGATCTCTTGGGCTCAGGAGTTTGAGACCAGCCTGGGCAACAGAGTGAAACCCCATGTCTACAAAAAATAAAAAATTAGCCAGGCATGGTGGTGCATGCCAGTAGTCCCAGCTACTCAGGAGGCTGAGGTGGGAGGATTGTTTGGACCCAGGAGGCAGAGGTTGTGGTAAGCTAAGATACTGCCATTGCACTCTAGCCTGGGCAACAGAGCAAAACCCTGTCTCAAAAAAAGAAGAAAAGCCACTAGTCCTACTCCCATGATCACCCATTAATCCATTAATCCATTATCATATTAATCCATTCATGAGGGCAGATCCCTCATAAACCAATCACTGCTTAGAGGCCCCACCTCTCAATATTGCCACATTGGGGATTAAGTTTCAATATGAGTTTTGGAGGGGACAGATATTCAAGCCATAGCAGAAGCTTAGAGGTCTTCGGGAGTGTTATTATTACCCTACATTTAGTAAGGGAGGCTGTGGAGACCCAGAGAGATCGAGGAAGAGTCAGAAAAGAAACAAGACCCAGGCCCCACGCCTCCAGGATGGAGGGTGAGACGTGCTCTGCTGAGGACAAGCACAGGAGCAACTGGACATGCCCCAGAGCCTTGGCCTAGGGGTGGGAGGGAGGATGCCTGCGTATGGATTCTGAAGATGGGAATTTAAACCCCCATTTGACAAACTCATGGCTGCGTCATCCTGGGCCAGTCACTCCTCTTCTCTGGCCCTTGGTTTCTTAGTCTTCAGTAGGGAAATAATCACAGAGGACAGAATCCAGGGAAGAGTGTATTGTAAAGTCCAAAGTGCTTTAAAGGAGCCATGGAGCTCCATTTATTTCCTTTCTTTTTTTTTTTTTTTTTTTTTTTTTGAGACGGAGTCTCCCTCTGTCACCCAGGATAGAGTGTAATAGCACAATCTCAGCTCATTGCAACCTCCACCTCCCGGGTTCAAGTGATTCTCCTGCCTCAGCCTCCCAAGTAGCTGGGATTATAGGTGCCTGCCACTATACCTAGCTAATATTTTTATTTTTAGAAGAGACTGGGTTTCACCGTGTTGCCCAAACTGGTCTCGAACTCTTGACTTCAGGTGATTGGTCTGCCTCATATTGCCAAAGTGCTGGGATTACAGGTGTGAGTCGCCGTGCCTGGCTTTATTTTTTTTATTAAAAATGTTCGCCGGCGCCGGGCGGAGTGGCTCAAGCCTGTAATCCCAGCACTTTGGGAGGCCGAGGCAGGTAGATCACGAGGTCAAGAGATCGAGACCATCCTGGTCAACATGATGAAACCCCGTCTCTACTAAAAATACAAAAAAAAAAAAAAAAATTAGCTGGGCATGGTGGCGCGTGCCTGTAATCCCAGCTACTCAGGAGGCTGAGGCAGGAGAATTGCTTGAACCCAGGAGGCGGAGGTTGCATTGAGCCGAGATCGCGCCATTGCACTCCAGCCTGGGTAACAAGAGCGAAAACTCCATCTCAAAAAAAAAAAAAAAATTTTCGCCGGCATGGTGGCCTATGCCTGTAGTCCCAGCTACTCGGGATGTTGAGGCTGGAGGATCGCTTGAGTCCAGGAGATCTGGGCTGTAGTGCACTATGCCGATCAGGTGTCCGCACTAAGTTCAGCATCAGTATGGTGACCTCCTGGGAGCGGGGAACCACCAGGTGGCCTAAGGAGGGGTGAACCAGCCCAGGTCGGAAATGGAGCAGGTCAAAACTCCTGTGCTGATGAGTAGTGGGATTCCACCTGTGAATAGCCACTGCACTCCAGCCTGGGCAACATAGCCAGACCCTGTCTCTATAACAAAACAAAACAAAAAACCAAAAACAAAAAAACTTTTTTTGGGCTGGGCGTGGTGGCTCACGCCTGTAATCCCAGCATTTTGGGAGGCTGAGGCAGGCAGATCACTTGAGGTCAGGAGTTTGATACCAGCCTAGGCAACATGGTGAAACTCTGTCTCTACTAAAAATACAAAAAGAAACAGGGTCTCTCTGTCACTCAGGTTGGAGTGCAGTGACATGATCATAGTTAACTGCAGCCTGGGCTCAAGTGATCCTCCTGCCTCAGCCTCCAGAGTAGCTAGGGCTACAGGCACACACCACCATGCCGGCTAATTCTTTTAATATTTTGTAGAGACTTGTAGAGTCTTCTTATGTCACCTAGGCTAGTCTAGAACTGCTGGCCTTAAGTGATCTTCCTTCTTCTGCCTCCCAAAGTGCTGGGATTACAGGTGTGAGCCACTATACCGGCTCTGAGAGGCTCCATTTTGACCTACACCTGCAAACAGACCTGCCCCTGTGCTCTGGAGATCATCACCATGTGCTCATGCCAGTACACACCTGTGCACACTTGCTAGCATTTGGTCACAAATCTCCAAGGTGACAGCAGAAAGTTTATGAGCCAGTATTTTAGGTTATAAGGCAAGTATTTTGAGTGTGGTGGCATGTGCCTGTAGTCCCATCTACTTGGGGAGTTAAGGCAGAAGGATCCTTTGAGCTCAGGAGTTCAAGCCTGCAGTGAGCAAATTATGCTACTGCACTCCAGACTTGGCAACAGAGCAAGACCCGGCTGGGCGCAGTGGCTCAAGCCTGTAATCCCAGCACTTTGGGAGTCCGAGGCGGGTGGATCACGAGGTCAAGAGATCGAGACCATCCTGGTCAACATGGTGAAACCCCGTCTCTACTAAAAATACAAAGCATTAGCTGGGCATGGTGGCGCATGCCTGTAATCCCAGCTACTCAGGAGGCTGAGGCAGGAGAATTGCCTGAACCCAGGAGGCGGAGGTTGCGGTGAGCCAAGATCGTGCCATTGCACTCCAGCCTGGGTAATAAGAGCAAAACTCTGTCTCAAAAAAAAAAAAAAAACGAGCAAGACCCAGACTCATAAAATAAAATAGAATAGAGGGGACAGGTAGGGGGTGAAAAAATAAAATAAAATAAGATAAAAAGATAAAAATTTAGGCTATCACACAGTAGTAGCAATCCCAACATTTTGGGAGGCCAAGGTGGGAGGATCACTTCAACTCAGGAGTTCAAGACCAGCCTGGGCAACATAGTAAGATCTCATCTCTAATAAAAATAAAAAATAAAAACTAGCCGGGTGTGGTGTCGTGTGCTTGTAATCCCAGCTATTTGGGAGGCTGAGGCAGGAGGATCACTTGAGCCCAGGAGTTCAAGGCTGCAGTGAGCTACGATCATGCCACTGCACTCCAGCCTGGATAACAGAGCGAGACCCTGTCTCAAAAAAAAAAAAAAAAAAAAAAAAAGGAAGGGTGGGGTTTCATTGTTTCTCTTTTTTTTTTTTTTTTTTTTTGAAACGGAGTTTCGCTCTTGTTACCCAGGCTGGAGTGCAATGGCGCGATCTCGGCTCACCGCAACCTCCGCCTCCTGGGCTCAGGCAATTCTCCTGCCTCAGCCTCCTGAGTAGCTGGGATTACAGGCACGTGCCACCATGCCCAGCTAATTTTTTTTTTTTTTTTTTGTATCTTTAGTAGAGACGGGGTTTCACCATGTTGACCAGGATGGTCTCGATCTCTCGACCTCGTGATCCACCCGCCTCAGCCTCCCAAAGTGCTGGGATTACAGGCTTGAGCCACCGCGCCCGGCTCATTGTTTCTCTTACTGGACTCTGGCAAGACTCCAGTGGCTGAGGACCCTGCTGCTTGAAGGGGAGAAATGGCCAGCTAGTGAGCAACAAGGAACCCAGCTCTGCTTGAGGCCATCTTTCCTGAACAGAGTTAAAACAATGCTTGCCCGGTTTTCGACTTTCAAGTTTTTGGCTGCCGGGGGATTAGACGTAGGGCTCCGTGGGCCGAGTCCCAGCCTCCTCATAGACCTGTGGGCCAGCTGCATCTTCCCTTCTGCCTTCTTTCTTTTCTCTCCTTCCGAGCTCAGGCCTCAGTGTTACCTTTGAAGGACCCTGTCCTGGGAGAGCTCCTGGAAGTCAGGGAGAGGGATGGATGAGGGGCTCTGATGAGACAAATCAGAGCTGAGACTACCATGCCCATTTCACAGATGAGAAAGCAGTGACCCAAAAGGCCAAGCGACTTGTCTGAAGTTACCTGGCCTGACTGGGGTAGGGGTGGTTATTCTGCACTTTGAGAGGCTACTCTCCCCACCCTCTGACGCTCATCTCTCTTCTTCCTCTGCAGGGAGCTAGACCACAGTGGGACAAGGACACCTCCAGACGGGTTACCAGGGCCCCACATGGAGGAGGCAGGTGGGCCCACGGCCCGGGCCAAGGCCCGAGTGGTAAGTGCCACATTGACATGGCGGCAGCGGCCCCCTGCCCAGGAAGAGGTCAAACACCATTTTCACAAGGTGTCCCTCGTGTCAGGGGCCCAGACAGAAGCCTCCCAGAAGGAGTTCGGACACCGTGGAGAGGAAGTCAATGGCTTTGCTACACAGGAAGCAGAGACTGTGAATTACCAGGGCCCCTGGGATACAGCTGACTCCAAGAACTTCCAGAGCCACGGGCCCATCTTTTCCAAGAAGTACACACCGCCTCCCAAGGAGAAGAGGCCTGAGGGGAGGCTGAGGGCAGCTGTGGATCAGACTGATGGCAGCCCCCAAGCTCCCAGGACTGAGTCCCCACGTGTGGGAGCTACGGCCAGGACTGAGCTTTTGGTTCCTCTGCCTGGGCCCCGAGAGCCAAGTCCCCACCCAAGTGTGGGTCTCACCTGTGGGAGCTCCCGGAGCCTCGAGGAACACCGCGTGACGCGCACTGTACGGACCACCACGGTGGTGGGAGGTCATGTGGACCGGCGGGTGAGCAGCTCTGTGACTGTGAAGCCAGTGTTCTCAGGCGAGGCCCTGCCACGAGGCCGTCAGGTCACCCGCGTGGTGCAGCCAGTGGTGCTGGGCTCCCCGCCAGGCTCGCCCAGGCACAGCCAGGCTGTGAAACTGCTAAGTAGACTTGTGCCTGCTGAGCACAGCCCCCCTGCCAGCCACCTGCCCAGGCCCATGGCTGGCATGCCACGGAGCCCAGGTCTGGGTGCCACAGTGGGGGCAGCCTTGAGGCAGCTGCCGGAGACTGAGACAGCAGAGCTTAAAGACAGCTCTGTCCTGGCTCCTACAGGCATCCCGGCTGGTGCTTACCTGCCTAAGAATCAGGATGTCCCTGAAGCCTGTCCAGACCAAGACCAGGGCAGAGCCCCAGATGCCAGGGCCTGTGAGCCCCCGCGGGTGCCGGGAGCCTCCAGCTCCACTGAGCCTCCTCTCCAGACTTCTCAGGGTCAAGCATCAGTCCCCTTCTTTTCCCAGACTCCAGACCCATGTGCCCTCTCCTGGCCTAGCTCACCCCGCTGAGCAGCCTGTGGTGCCCACTCACCCCAGGGCCCAGCTCAGTCCCCATGTTCTGCCCCCTATAAAAAGGGAAGGGCTCGTGGACCTCCCTGCTGCTACTGTCCTGCCCATGGTGAGGAGCGAGCATGTGACAGTCCCTGACCAAGCCCTTGCTCCATCTTCTACAAGAAGGAAGGCTGTCCCCAGCCCAGGAGGTCTTTCTGCTCCATCGTCCCCAAGGAATAAGTTTGTTCAGGACTCTGATAATGTTCCTGTCTTCCCCTTTACCCAGAAGGAGGTGGTGTGGGGCCCTGGTGCTCCAGCCTGCCTTGTCCCCCACCTGTAAAGAGGTTGTGCAGGGCCCCGGTACTCCTGCTGCCTCATTCCCCACCCAGAATGGGGGCCCAGGTGCTCCTGCTGCCTTGTCTCCCAAGTCAGCTGAGGTTGTCCAAGGCCCAGAAGACAGCTCTAGCATCCAAAAAGAGGCTGTCCAGGGTACTGCAGGCAGCCTCGCCACTCCCCTCACCAAGGAAGAGACTATTCAAGGTCCAGCTGCTCCTGCCACCCCACTCTCCAAACAGGATAAGGAGGTCCAGGACTCTGAAGGGAGCCCCATCTCGTCTCTCACTCAGAAAGACACTGTGCAGGACCCTGCTGTTCCCCCTGCCCCATCTTCCTCAGTGGACCAGGTGTCCCCCAGCCCAGGAGGCACCCCTGTCCCAGTGCCAATAGAAGCAGAGGCCAGCACGGAGCCCCAGCTTGTCTCTGACCCCACCGAGGGCAAGATGTGCCCAGAAACACCGAGGGAGGAGGATGAGGTGGCCCTGACCGCTGACCTGGAGATTTTCCTGGATACCCTGCGGAGCATGGAGCCCCCTGAGATCCTCCGCACTCACCGGCTGCCAAGAGCCCCCCGCTCCTCCTACCTGGCCATGTATGCCACACTGCCTGCCATTGAGGAGGACCAGCCAGGGCCATGGGTGCTGGGCCCCAGCCCCCAGGAGGTACCTTCTCTGGAAGAGGAGGAGGAGAAGGAGGAGGAAGAGGAGGAGGAGGAACCAGAGAACCCCTATCTGAGTGATGACGAGAAGCTCCAGCTCAGGCAAGAGAAAGCTGGGCCCAGCCCCTCCTGGGACCTCCACCCTGCCAGGCCCACCCAGGCCTCCTGCTCTCCTCTGGAGATGATGAAGAAGCATGTTGCGGGAACCAAGAGCCCTCACTCAGAGCTGGGGTTGGAATTGCAGGGAAGGAGCCGGCCCACTTCCCGTCTCGGAGGCAGCCTTCTCTTCAGCAGTCTGGTGCCTGCCACTAAGGAAACCTCCACCCTGGAGCCGCTGGGCACAAAACTATCTGCTCTGCCACCCCATGGGGCACCAGGACTCAGGAAGGTGCCAGGACAGTTGCCCCTGCTCTGCAGTGAAAGACCGTCCCCACCGGAGAAGCTTGCCTGTGCCCTGCCCCTGGAGGGGTGGGTGAGTGAGGCCTTGGGTGGGCAAGAGAGGTGCTCAGCCTCATCCCGGTCAGGGCTTGGGTGCTGTGAAGAGAGTGGTGCTGGGAGTGAGTCTGAGGGCAGAGGCTTCTGTCTAAAGTTTTCTTCATTTTACCTGTGCAAGCCACGTCTCTCTGGGCCTGTCTCCCTATCCGTACTGTGGGTGGTTTGTAGTGTGGATTCCAAAGGGCTTGGGGGCTTCAAGATCCTGGGAGCTGAGGAATAGGGGTGATGGGCACCGAGCTCCTGGGACAGGGTGATGAGGCCCCTGGGGGTTGGGAGAAAGTGTGGCATCCTCTATGCGCCAGCTCCTTGCGGGTGGAGGTCAATAGGGAGGATGTGGGATCCTTGGAATGGAAGGTCGTGGGGAGGCAGAAAAGAGGTGATTGCATAGCTCTTCTTCATCACTCCCCTCCGTTTCAGAGCCCAGCCTTAAAGACCCAGGGCAAGCTGAACACCAGGCCTGGAAAGGTAGGGTTGTGGAGGCAAGCGGGTGGGGGCAGCAGGAGGCAGGGGTCTGGGGTCCGGGCCTGAGGACCCTTCTGTGCTTTCTCAGGTTATCTTCTTCTCAGAGTCTGGCTGCCAAGGCAGTGGCAGGGAGGTCTGGGGAGACATTGCTGATGCCTCCGGCTGGGCCCCCGTAGCCTCCATAAGGGTAGTTCGAGGCTGGTGAGTGGAGAGTGCCCAGTAGGGCACCTGGCTGTGAACTTGGGGCTGGAGGTGGGGAAAAGGGGAGTGAGAAGTGATCAGACCAGACTGGCAGAAACCCTATCAGCTACCCAGTGGCCCTGGGCACATCCTCCTCCCCATCCGTGACTCTATAATCTCTGTGCCCACAGCTGGGTACTGTATGAAGAGCCAGAGTTCCTGGGTCAGAAGCTGGTCCTGCCTGAAGGAGACATGGAACTCAGAGCCCCAGGGACAAAGTGGAGTCCCCAAGGCATCGGCTCCCTAAGGAGGGTTATCTGGGTGAGTGAGTTGGAGGTGGGAGACAGCCTTGAGTGCCTAGAGTTGAAATCCCTGAGGCCGGGCGTGGTGGCTCACATCAGTAATCCTAGCACTTTGGGAAGCCAAGGCCGGCGGATCACCTGAGATCAGGAGTTTGAGAACAGCCTGGCCAACATGGTGAAATCCCGTCTCTACTAAAAATAAAAAAAAGTAATTAGTTGGATGTGATAGCATGCACCTGTAATCCCAGCTTCTTGGGAGGCCGAGGCAAGAAAATTACTTGAACCCAGGAGGCAGAGATTGCAGTGAGCTAGATTGCACCATTGCATTCCAGCCTGGGCGACAGGGCAAGACTCCGTCTCAAAAGAAATCCCTGGGAGAGAACTTATGGTGTAGTGGGCAGAGGGGCTTAATATGGACTGGCCTGTAGATTCCTCACTGTGGAGCTGACTGGGGAAGAAAGAGATTCTGGAGAGTGGGCAGCCTGGCTTGAGAAGTCAGGACCCAGGCAGAGGCCAACCTCAGCTTGGGAAAGCAGCCTGAGGACATTTGAGTAGATGCTCAAGCAGGAAGAGGTGAGAGCAGCAGAGATGAGGTAGGAGTGGATGTGGGGTTGCCTGCCCCCCCCAGGGGCCAGCTTGCAGGCCCCAGTCGGACCCAAGGTGCCAGGCATGTTTGCTCATTCATTTGCTCACAGATGCTCACTCATATCTCCTATGTGCCAGGCACTGGGGCCAGGCAATGGGCAGTGGGGAGAGATCTGCTCTCTGCCCTGCAGGACTTAAAGTCAAGCTAGGCTATGAGGATTGGGTTGGGAGCAGGGACGCCATATAACCAGACTGGGGATTTATAAACAGCCCACTGGCTGCCAGGTGGAGAAAAGACTAGGGATCCTGGAGGCAGGGAGACCAGGAAGGGCTGTGATTTCCAGCCAAGGGGCACCTCTGATTTTTGAGGGAGGGCTGTGTGGTTTGAAAAGTTAACATTATAATTTCCAAGGCCAGGCGCAGTGGCTCACACCTGTAATCCCAGCACTTTGGGAGGCCGAGGTCGGGGAGATCACCTGAGGTCAGGAGTTAGAGACCAGCCTGGCCAACATGGCAAAACCCCATCTCTACTAAAAATACAAAAATTAGCCAGGTGGGTAGGGGCATCTGTAACCCCAGCTACTCAGGAGGCTAAGACTGGAAAATCACTTGAACCCAGGAGGTGGAGGTTGCAGTGAGACAAGGTTGCATTATTGTACTCCAGCCTGGATGGCAAGAGTGAAACTCCGTCTCAAAAAAAAAAATTATAATTTCATGTTTGTAAAGTGAAAACAATATTGTTTTTACAGCACAGTAATAAACTGCCGAAATTAAGCTTGACAAAACTATCCTGACTACTAGGGTGACCCAGAAGGAAGAGCAATGACTGTAAAAGCGGTGTCAATCAGACATTTTGGTTCTTTTTGTTTGTCTGATTTTTGTTTTTAATGAAAAAATGAATAACTGAGTCCAGAACTGTTGCAATTTTCCTAGTAGGAGATGACAAGAGCTCAGTAGCCTTAACTAGGGCAGTGGCCCAGGAGGAGGGGATAGGAATTTTCAAAGCTTCTCCGGAGGCTGGGTGCAGTGGCTGACGCCTGGAATCTCAGCACTTTGGGAAGCCTAGGTGGGTGGATTATCTGAGGTCGGGAGTTTGAGACCAGCCTGGCCAACATGATGAAACCCCGTCTCTACTAAAAAAAAAAAAATTAAAAAATAGCCAGGTGTGGCGATGGGTGCCTGTAATCCCAGCTTGGGAGGTAGAGGCAGGAAAATTGCTTGAACCCAGGAGGTGGAGGTTTCAGTGAGCCGAGATCACACCACTGCACTCCGACCTGGGCAAAAAAGTGAAACTCCGTCTCAAAAACAAAACAAAGCCTCTCTAAAAACCCACAAATGTTTGTGGACAATTAATTGTGAACTTCTGACAATAAATTCATCTTCATGTGGGAGGTAACAACTACAAGAGAAAAGCAAAGGCTTCGAAGTCAGATGTTTCTGGATTCATTTGAGTCATTCAGCATTGATTGGGTACCTGTTATATGCCAAGTACATGGGAGGTGCTAGGTTGCAACAGTGAACAAAAACTATACTGCTCTGTCACTTGCAAGCTGTGTGAGCTTGGGCATGTTGCTTAACTTCATTGAGCTTCACTTTCCTTGTCTGTGACTGGATGAATAATGCCCACTGGGAGGACTAAATGATATGAGGTAGGACATGACCTTAGCACAGTGCCTCGCATGCAGTAGATGCTTCGTACATATTTGATGAATAAGTGAATGAATGAAAATGGTCCTGGTGGGGAAGAAACACCTAGGATACAAAGAGGATCCGCTGCTTCCTAGGATGAGGTGCAGGCAAAGCCAGTCTGGACAGAGGCCGGAATCTACCTAAAGGAGGGTCAAAGTTGGAACTCAGGAAGTGGCTGTCCATCTTGGCCATCCTCCCACCAGGTTGGAAGTCAGGCTACCCAGAGGCAAGGCTATGGGCCTGGCACTTTGCAGGTTCTCTCAAGAACTTTGGTCCCAGGTCCCAAAGGTCCAGCAAGGGACCAGCACGGGCTTCGGTCTCAGGCTTGGCTGGCTGCAAAGACCACCCTAGTCACGTTCCTGGTTTCTGGGGGAATAGCCACAAAAGTTTTCCCACAGCCATCTGGAGCCCTGGCTAAATGGACTTGGGGAAGCAGGGTGGCGTCTAAGGGGGGCTGTTTATATGTTTTTCATTTCCCCCTCCTTCCACAGGACTACAGCGCCCCGGAGATCAGCCTCTTCTCTGAGGAGGGCCTCAAGGGGGAGCAAGTGAAGCTAACAGAGGCCTTGAATAACTCCCAGGGCCTGGAGAAGCCCCTGCAGGTGGCATCTGCCACTGTCTCTGCAGGACTGTGAGTCTGGTCTATTCTAGAATCCCCTCATTTGACATTCACTGTGCTGGGTGCTTGGGACACGGAGGTGACAGGACACAGTTCCTGCCTTCAGGAGTGCTCAGTCCACTGGTGGGGACAGGCAAGTAAGCAGACTATAGCAATTCAGATTTTTGGGGTGAGGGAGCACAGAAAAACACCACACCATGAGAGGCAGAGTGTGGAAGTCAGAGAAGCCTTCCTGGAGGAGGAGACACTATGGCCAGGATTATTTGGCCAGGAATCTAAGCTCCATGAGGGCAGAGATTTTGTATGTTTGTTCACTACTGTATCCCTGATGCCTGTAGCAGAGTCTGGCACAGGGCAGATGCTTCTAAACATTTATTAATTGAATGAATAAGGAAACGAGTATATCTGGCAGAGGGAATAGCACATGCAAAGGCCCAGAGAGGAGCGAGCTAAGCTTCAGATTTTCAGTTTAGTCAGTGTAAGCAACAAGTGGGGAGAACTGAAGCCCAGAGGGAAGGAGGAGGCCAGATTGCAGAGCCTCTTTGCATAGCTGGGCTTTATTGTGAGGCTAACAGGGAACTACTGGGGTTGTTAAAGCAGTTTTCCATGCATGCTAGAGAAAAATGCTGTAGCTGCTGTGTGAAATGAGAGAAGGCAAGGCCAGAGGAAGGGAGACCAAGGTGGCTACTGCAAGAGATTATAGTGGATTAATGGGAGCCTCCCCCGAAAAACTCCCTTTTCCCCGCTAAACCTTCCTTCCCAGCCACCACTCTGTGTCCCTTGGAGTCTGGGGTACAGCAGCCTCTCTGCCTTCCCCCAGGTGGCTACTATACCCCAAACCATTCTTTGAAGACACTCCCTACATCCTGGAACCTGGAGAGTACCCCACATCGGAGGCCTGGGGCACATCAGAACCCAGCGTGGGCTCCCTGAAGCCCGTGACATTGGTAAAGAACAGGGCACACCGACAGGCCAGGAGGTCTAGGCTCTGCCCCTGGTCCCAAGTAGCATGGTCCTGCAGTCTGTGGGAAGGGAGGGGGATGAAGTGTAAAATAGCACCCCTTGGGAGATTGCTTCCTGGAAGCTTCCATTGGGAATGGGAGTGGGAGGATTAACCTAAGAGGTGGGGGAAGAGGGAAGACATGGGATTGGGGTTCTCAGGATCAGGAAAATCCTAGATCCCCAGCCCCATCTGTCTTTCCCATCTCTGGGCTGGTGTCTCAGCTCTGTCTCCTCTGCAGGGCTGCCCAAGCGTGGAGAAGCCAGGGGAGCCCAGGGTAAGAGTCCGGGTTTCGGAGTCAAAGAGGGCCTTTGGTGGTGGGGTGCAGGTGTGTGGTCATCGTAGCCTGGACAGGAAATCCAGAGAGGAGGGTACTGGAGGCCAAAAGCTGGATTTGGGGGGATGGCACCTGATGGGCTCAGTGGGAGCTGGCTTTTGATGTGTAAGAAGGTCAGAGGTCAGAGTAGAGCCAGGAATTGGGTAAGGGGATGGAGCTCAGTGAGGAGGTGGGAGGGCTAGGGTGTGCCACCTTGGGCTGATGTGGGCAGAGCATTCTTGGGCTGGCTGGGTGTGTTTGGGTCCAGATTACTCCCCACCATCCTGACTCCCCCTTACTCCCAGGCTGTGGTGTATGAGGCCCCAGGCTTTCAGGGCCGCAGCTGGGAGGTGAGCCGAGACATCTACAACCTTCAGCAGCCAGAGGACAGCCAGAGCCCCCACCTGGCCTCTGTGGGGTCCCTGAGAGTTCTTGGGGGCTGGTGAGAATTCAGGACCCTTCCTTATATTTCATCACCTTCACTAGCCTTTACCCTTGGGAGTGGGGAGTGTCCTGTGGGGAGTGTCCTGGGCTGCCTGGGGGGTGGGGACAGTTGTCTTACCCATCCATGGGCCTCCTATTACTGAACCTGCCTGTCCATCCTCCTGCTTTTCCCAGCTGGGTAGGCTATGAGAAGGAGGGCTTCCGGGGCCACCAGTATCTGCTGGAGGAAGGGGAATACCCTGACTGGTCACACTGGGGAGGCTATGATGAGTTGCTGACCTCCCTCCGGGTCATCCGCACGGTAAGCAAAGGCAATTGGCTTATTCTTCTGCTTCTGGCCACAGCCAGACCTCCCCTAGTACAATTTGTGGAGGGAAGAATTTATACCCCCTCTCTGTGTTTTCCCTAGAAGTGTTCCCTAAGGTCTAGCCGCTCTTCCTCCTGCAGCTCTTCTCCAGGCCGTCCTGACAGCCTCACCCCTAATTCCCCGGGTGGGCTGTGACCCTGGGGCCTGGGCACCCTGAGGGGCTTCGGTTTGTGGGCAGGAGAAACTGACTGTACCTGGGGCCCAGGACTTCGGGGACCCGGCCATCGTGCTATTTGAGGCCATGGACTTTGAGGGGCACAGCGTAGAGGTGAGCAAGGCATTGCCGGACGTGGAGCTGGTGCAACACGGCCCCAGCACACAGGCCATACACGTGCTCAGCGGCGTGTAAGTGACCCGGGCTCCGGAAGCGGGGCGGGCTGGGGGCGGTTCCAGGAGAGGGGCCGGCTCCGTGCCTGCTGACCCGCGCCCCACTCTTCCTGCAGGTGGGTGGCCTACCAGGAGGTGGGCTTCTCCGGGGAACAGTACGTGCTGGAGAAGGGTGTGTACCGTAACTGCGAGGACTGGGGCGCAGGTAACAGCGCCCTCGCGTCGCTGCAGCCGGTCCTACAGGTGAGTGCCAGCCGCGGGGGGCGGGGCCTCAGGGGGCGGGTCCTGGAGTTCGGAGAGGGGGCGGGGCTGGAGGGCCTGTCTGGGCGGGGCCTTGGGGGCGGGGCCGAGGGCGCGGCCGCGGGGTGGGCAGTACAGAAACCTAGAGGAGCCGAGGCTAGGATCCGGCACCCTCCCTAAGTCTCGATTCGGTCCCACCTTTCAGGTCGGGGAGCACGATCTGCACTTCGTCTCAAAGGTAAGGTGGGGATTCTGCAGGGAGCCGCTGAGCGCACGCCTCTCCCCTCGTTTCAAACCTCTCCCCTCCCACTGTTCTTGGCCCCATTCCATCGCCCTCCTTTCTCGCCTCTCTCTAGATTCAGCTTTTCTCCCTCCCCGACTTTCTGGGCGACCACTTCTCCTTCGAAGATGACCAGGCCACTCTGCCCGCGTCCTTCCGACCTCAGTCCTGCCGGGTCCACGGCGGCAGGTGAGGACGTGGACGGGTGGAGAGGTGGAGGGGTGGGGGAACAGGGGTCAGAGGCAGGGCTGCAGGAGGAGGGTCTTTCAAATAATTTCCTTCCTTTGGCTACCTTGGAATGAGCTATTCTGTCTTGCGCCTTTCAATTTTAAAACAAACAAAATAGGGCCGGGCGGTGGCTCAAGCCTGTAATCCCAGCACTTTGGGAGGCCGAGGCGGGTGGATCACGAGGTCAAGAGATCGAGACCATCCTGGTCAACATGATGAAACCCCGTCTCTACTAAAAATAAAAAACATTAGGTGGGCATGGTGGCGCGTGCCTGTAATCCCAGCTACTCAGGAGGCTGAGGCAGGAGAATTGCCTGAACCCAGGAGGCGGAGGTTGCGGTGAGCCAAGATTGCGCCATTGCACTCCAGCCTGGGTAACAAAAGCGAAACTCTCTCTCAAAAATAAATAAATAAATAAATAATAAAAAATAAAATAAGGTTTTTAATGGAAAATGTAAAACTGTAGATTGTGTAATGTAAAGATGTATCTTTTTTCCTCTATCCATCTGCTCTTTTAAATTTTCAGTGGAGTATTCTTTTTTCCAGTGGAGTATTTTAAATCCCTGACCCAACATAAAATTTCATGAGTAAACACCATGCTCGGCTAATTTTTTAACTTTTTTGTAGAGATGGGGGACTCCCTTTGTTACTTAGGTTATTCTCAAACTTCTGGGCTCAAGTAATCCTCCTTTTCTGCATTCTCCCAAAGTGCTGGGATTACAGGTGTGAGTTACTGCACCTAGCCCTAATTCTGCTTTCCTATGAATAATTACCATGAAGCCGTGCAGCTCATGCCTGTAATCCCAGCACTTTGGGAGGCTGAGGCAGGAGCCCAGGAGTTCAAGACCCACCTGGTCTTTGAACCAGCTATTGCCTGTCTTCACAAAAAACATTTTAATTAGGTGGGTGTGGTGTCATGCACCTATAGTACTACCTACTCAGGAGGCTGAGAAGAGAGGATTGCTTGAGCCTAGGAGCTGGAGGCTGCAGTGAGGTATGATCACACCACTGTACTCTAGCTTGGGCAACAGAATGAGATCTTATCTCTAAAATCATCATAATAATTGTTACATGAAATATTTATGTGGTTCCTGCCTCAGCTAAGGCTGCTATCACAAAATACCAAAGTCTGTGTTGTTTAAATAAGAGAAATTTATTCTCTCACATGTCTGGAGACTAGGAAGTCCAAGATCAAGGTGCTGGCCACTTCACTTCCCCCGTGAGAGCTTTCCTCCTGGCTTGCAGAAGGCCATCTCCTCACTGTGTTCTCATGTAGTGAAGAGAGAGAGTGTGAGCTCCCGTCTCTTCCTCTTCTTTTAAGGACACTAATCCCATCATGAGGTCTCACCCTCATGACCTCCTCTAAACCAAATTACCTCCTAAAGGCTTCACCTCTGAAGACCATTACACTGAGAGTTAGGGCTTTAGCATGTGATTTTGGAGGGACACAGACATTCAGGTTGTAACAGTTCCAAAACCAATAGCTTTGATCTCTGTCCCTGCCACCTTTTCCCCTCTCACCCCCTATAAGAAATCATTTTTTTAAGTGTTTGGTGTATTCATCCACTGGCTTTTGTTGCTGTTAAGATATAAGCAAATATACACTCATAAATTTCCATTTAGCTATAGAAACCAAATATTTATATTTTGTTTCCCTTCTCCATTTTCTTACACAAAGGGAAGCATATTATACCCAGGTTAATATAATAAAAAAAAAACACTAAATTGTACCCTTTAAAAGTATGAGTTTTATGGCATGTGAATTATATCTCAATTTTTTAAAGGAAGTATGCTATAAACACTGTTATGCACCTGCTTTTTTTAATTTAACTCTTCGGAGATCACTTTATATCCCATTAAGAGCTTCTTTTCCTTCCTCTTAACTGCTGCATTATACTCCACTTTTTCTTATTCAGCCAAGCCCCTATTGATGGACATTTGGGCTGCTTCCCCTCTTTGCTATTGCAGAAGTGCCATAATGAGTAGTCTCCTGCATGTGTGATTTCAGTTTTCAAAGGGTGTCCTTGGGATGGATTCCTCGATATGAGATTGCTGAGTAATTACCCGTGGAGTTTTGCTTAATATTGCCAAATTCCCCTCCATAGGGGCAGGATGATTTCATTCAGTCTTTTCTTAAGTCTGACCTCATTCCCTGCTGTTGTAGTGCTTGTTCATCCTTGACCTCTCCTGGGACAGGGGATCATGATCAAGTCTGAATTCCCTCTTCTGTGTCTCGGGAACCTGGGCAGGCCAGGGACAGGTAGGCTCAGATGGCCTCCATTTCTTCCCCTTCCGCAGCTGGATCCTGTTTGATGAGAAGAACTTCAAGGGTGACCAGCATATTCTCTCTGAGGGCGAGTTCCCCACTCTCACGGCCATGGGCTGCCTAGCCTCCACAGTCCTGGGCTCTCTCCAGAAGGTATCCCTGGTGAGTTTCCATGACCAGTTCTAGGTAATCCTGGAAGCAGAAGTTGCTGCCGGAGGAGTTCTGGACACAGAACCTGTGTGCTGGTGCAGAGGTTGATGCTAGTCTTTTTAGAACCGCCCCAGGCCCCTTGACTCTGGGGCTGTAAAGCCAGTTTAGTTCCCTAGCTCTTCATTGAACACCTACCGAGACAAGACCTGGGGACACAGAAAGAAATCGGACACAGCCCTACCTGTAAAGATGATCATAAACATAAAGATTACATCCAGAGTGGTGCGTCCAGATACAGAAGTGGTGCAGGGATGGAGGGACCAACACTCAGGGCTGGCCTGGGGCGGGGGCCAGTGCTGCCAAGGTGATGTTCCACACAGGGAGTAGTGACAGCATCAGCTAGAAAGACGGCCTTGCCTGCTGCAGACCGGTGGAAGTGACGGGGGCCACAATAAAGGGCTAGCATCTGTAGGACTTGGTGACTGTGTGGCCAGTGGGGACAGTATCCAGTCAGAAGAGCTGATACTTACTGAGTGCATAGCATGTGCCAGGTGGTGTTTAAAAGGCTTCCCACCAACCAGGCATGGTGACTCCTGCCTGTAATCCCAGCATTTTGAGAGGCTGAGGTGGGCAGATCACCTTAGGTAAGCAGAGTTCGAGACCAGCCTGGCCAACATGGTGAAACCCATCTCTACTAAAAATAAGAAAATTATCCAGATGTGGTAGTGCATGTCTGTAATCCCAGCACTTTGAGAGGCCGAGATGGGCGGATCACCTGAGGTGAGGAGTTGGAGACCATCCTGGCTAATGGGGTGAAATCCTGTCTTTACTAAAAATACAAAAATTAGCCCGGCATGGTGGCACGTGTCTGTAATTCCAGCTACTTTGGAGGCTGAGACAGGAGATTCATTTGAACCCAGGAGGGAGCGGTTGCAGTGAGCTGAGACAGTGCCACTGTACTTCAGCCTGGGTGACAGAGGAAGACTCCATCTCAAAAAAAAAAAAAAAGGCTTGCCATGTATACTAAGGCCTTTTAATCTTCTCTACAACCCTGAGAGGAGTGTTACCATTATTATCTCCCTTTTCCATATGTGGAAACTGAGGCACAGGCTCCAGGTTACATAGTTGGTAACAGGCAAAGCCAGGCTTTCCCCTAGGCAGCTAGTTCTGGGGTCCAAGTCCCTTGCAATGACACGCTGGGCTCTGAAGACAGATAAACCTGGTGCTGAAGCCCAGTTTTCAGGCCCTGTGCAAGCAATTTACCCTCTCCAGCCTGTTTCCTACCTATTAAGTGGGGATAATAATAGCTTCTACCTTAAAGGGTAGTTGAAGAGTTATGAGATCAGATAAAGCACTTAGCATAATATGGCCCATAGTAAATAAACCCTGATGATTGTGAGCTGCCATTATCGTCAGTGTTTTATTGTTATTCTTATCATGAAAAGAATGAAGCCAGGTGTGGTGGCTCATACCTATAATTTCAGCACTTTGGGAGGCCTAGGAGGGTGGATCATGAGGTCAGGGGTTTGAGACCAGCCCGGCCAACATGGTAAAACCCTTTCTCTCCTAAAAATACAAAAATTAGCTGGGTATAGTGGCATGTGCCTGTAATTCCAGCTACTCACGAGGCTGAAGCAGGAGAATTGCTTGAACTTGGAAAGCAGAGGTTACAGTGAGCCAAGATTGCACCTCTGCACTCCAGCCTGGGTGACAGAGTGAGACTCCATCTCAAAAAAATTAAATAAATAAATTTCAGCACTTTGGGAGGCTAAGCCAGGAGGATCACTAGGAGTTTGAGACTGCCTGGGCAACATGGTGAGAGACACTGTCTCTACAAAAAATTAGGCATGGTGGCATGTGCCTGTAGTCCCAGCTACTCAGGAGGCTGAGTTGGGAGGATCGATTGAGCCCAGGAAGTTGAGGCTATGGTGAGCCGTGATCACGCCACTGCATTCCAGCCTAGGCAACAGAGAAAGACCCTATCTCAAAAAAAAAAAAAAAAAAAAAAAAAGAATAAGCCCCAGGTTTCCAGACTGGCTCAGAGTGCCAGGGTTAGTTCTCAGAAGTGCCATTTACTGGAGAGGTGGTTTGAGGGGGAAACTGGGGGCCCAGCCTGGAGCTTGCTGACCCTGAGAATCAGGAGCACTCAGCTGGCAGCCTCCAGGAGTCAGTGGCCCTGCAGGACTGAGCTCAGGAGGGAAGAAGGCCTGAGGTACAGACCTGAAGTCAGGGTGTCTGGGACTGTGGGGCTATGTCTGGGACTTGGGCTCTCATGGCCTCACCGTCCTCCTTCCCCCGGGCCCCAGCACTTTTCAGAGCCTTCTGTTTTCCTGTATGGACTTGAATGCTTTGAGGGGAAGGAGATCGAGCTTAGCAGGGAGGTGCGGAGCCTGCAAGCCGAGGGCTTCAACAACCACGTGCTGTCTGTGCGGATCAAGGGGGGCATGTGAGTGCTGAGGGGAGGCACGGGTGTGGGGCTGCTGGTGGGGATGAGTCATGGCAAGATGGAGATCCGGGGGGTCTCTGGCCTCTTCCCCCTCCCTATTTCTGCCCCATGCCCTCCAAGCCAGGAAGGAGGGAGAATTACAGACTGAGAAGGGTCACTGGCTCTCAGGGCTTGGATCCCAGCTTGGTGGGCTTTTCAGGATCCTACTTTACCCTGCAAACCCCAAATCTACTTCCCAGCCTCCCTCTCCCCCATGGGAACCCTATTCCAGGCAGAGGAATCCCTGCATGAGAGAAGAGGAGGTGGAGAACATTCTAACATCTGTGTCTCCTCCTCCACTTGTCTGTGTGTCTGTGCTCTTCTCTGTGTCCCTGACACCTGCTGGGCCCAGCTGGGTGCTGTGTGAGCACAGTGACTTCCGGGGTCGCCAGTGGCTGGTGGGAAGCTGCGAGATCACCAACTGGCTGACCTACAGCGGCACCCAGAGGGTGGGTTCGCTCTACCCCATCAAGCAGGTGGGTATCATGGCTGGAGCTGAGCGTGTCCAGGGCTGAGCATGTCCGGGCAGGCCTGTCTGGATGAGTGTCTGGCTGTGTGCTTCCCAAACAGAATTTATGTACTTTTGTCACAATTTTGCCACATCATCATTCCTTTTGAGCCATTGTCTACTTAATATTTTTATCTAGATTAATTTTCTTTTTAAAAGGCTTTTAATTAATTTCTATCTATCAAAAAAAGCTGCTTCTTTTTTTTTTGAGATGCCTCCCAGGTTCAAGCGATTCTCCTACGTCAGCCTCCCAAGTAGCTGGGATTACAAGCATGTGCCACCACATCTGGCTTTTTTTTTTTTTTTTTTTTTTTTTTTTTTTTTTTGAGATGGAGTCTCTGTCGCCCAGACTGGAGTGTACTGACATGATCTTAGCTTACTGCAACCTCTGCCTCCCGGTTTCAAGTGAGTCTACTGCCTCAGCCTCCTCAGTAGCTGGGATTACAGGTATACACCACCACGCCCAGCTTTTTGTATTTTTAGTAGAGACAGGGTTTCACCATGTTGGCCAGGCTGGTCTCAAACTCCTGACATGGTGATCCGCCTGCCTCTGCCTCCCAAAGTGCTGGGATTACAGGTGTGAGCCACCAAGCCCATTTTTTTTTTTTTGTTTTGTTTTGTTTTTTTTAGCCAAAGTCTTGCACTGTCACCTGGGCTGGAGTGCAGTGGTGTGATTTTGGCTCACTGCAACCTCTGCCTCCCGGGTTCAAGCAATTCTCCTGCCTCAGCCTCCTGATCCAGCTGGGATTACAGGTGCATACCACCATGCCTGGCTAACTTTTTGTATTTTCACCATGCCTGGCTAGCTTTTTGTATTTTTAGTAGAGACATGGTTTCACCAAGTTGGCCAGGCTAGTCTCAAACTCCTGACCTCATGATCCGCCTGCTTCAGCCTCTCAAAGTGCTGGGATTACAGGTATGAACCACTGTGCTTGGCTAATTTTTTTTTTTTTTTTTTGAGACGGATTTCACTCTTGTTACCCAGGCTGGAGTGCAATGGCGCGATCTCGGCTCACCGCAACCTCCGCCTCCTGGGTTCAGGCAATTCTCCTGCCTCAGCCTCCTGAGTAGCTGGGATTACAGGCACAAGCCACCATGCCCAGCTAATTTTTTGTGTTTTTTTTTAGTAGAGACGGGGTTTCACCATGTTGACCAGGATGGTCTCGATCTCTTGACCTCGTGATCCAAAGTGCTGGGATTACAGGCTTGAGCCACCGCGCCCGGCCAATTTTTGTGTTTTTAGTAGAAATGGGGTTTCACCATGTTGGCCAAGCTGCTCTTGAACTCCTGACCTCACGTGATCCACCTGCCTTGGCCTCCCGAAGTGTTGGGATTACAGGTGTGAGCCACCATGCCCAGCCCCAGCCCATTTTTTATTTAGCTTTCTGACTCTGTGCTTGTACTTTCAACACTTTCATAATGATTTTCAGCTCCTGGATAAGGAAAGCAGGCTTGATCCTGTCACAAATACATTTAGCACACATGGAATCACCATAGGCCCTCCAGACATGTTTTCTCTTTTGGACAATCTCATTAGAACGTTAGACCTCACAACATGAACCTCTCGAATTTGGCTTGGGCACATACCACATGCAGATTTTGGTGCCTTCCCAACTTTGTTGGTATAAAGGTCAACAATTCTAGGCCGGGCATGGTGGCTCACACCTGTAATCTCAGCACTTTGGGAGGCCGAGGCGGGTGGATCACCTGAGGTCAGGAGTTCAAGACCAGCCTGACTAACATGAAGAAACCCCATCTCTACTAAAAATATAAAATTAGCCGGGTGTGGTGGCACATGCCTGTAGTCCCAGCTACTCAGGAGGCTGAGGCAGGAGAATGGCTTGAACTCGGGAGGCAGAGGTTGTGGTGACTCAAGATCATGCCATTGAACCCTAGCCTGGGCAACAAGAGCAAAACTCCATCTAAAAAAAAATTATATTACCAGGAGCTCGGGACAGCCTAGTTTTGTTAGAGTCTGTATTGTAGGAAAGTCTATGACAATATGTCAAATGCTAGAACATTCTGATGCCTCTAGACAACATCCCCAGAAGAGGAAAAATTTTAAAATTTACTTTTTTTTTTAACTTTATCCTTGTCTTAAGGAGTAATATCAATTAAGTCATGAGTTTGATATGTATATATGATTTTTTTCTTAATAGATGTAATAAATACATTACCATTAATTTTTCTTTTCTTTTTTTTTTTTTTTTTGAGACGGAGTTTCGCTGTTGTTACCCAGGCTGGAGTGCAATGGCACGATCTCGGCTCACTGCAACCTCCGCCTCCTGGGTTCAAGGAATTCTCCTGCCTCAGCCTCCCGAGTATCTGGGACTACAGGCGTGCACCACCACGCCCGGCTAATTTTTGTATTTTTAGTAGAGACGGGGTTTCACCTTGTTGACCGAGATGGTCTCGATCTCTTGACCTCGTGATCCACCCGCCTCGGCCTCCCAAAGTGCTGGGATTATAGGCGTGAGCCACCGCGCCCGGCCTACCATTAATTTTTCAAAAAAAAAGTTTATAGGCTGGGTGCAGTGGCTCACACCTGTAATTTCATCACTTTGGGAGGCCGAGGAGAGAGGGTTGCTTGAGACTAGGAGTTCAAGACCAGCCTGGGCAGCATGGCAAGACTCCATCTCTACAAAAAATACAAAAGAAGTGAGCTAGATGTTATGACCTGTGCTATAGTCCCAGCTACTGGGGAGACTGAGGTGGTCAGATCATCTGAGCCCGGGAGTTTGAGGCTGCAGTGAGCCATGATCACTCCACTGGCACTCCATGTTTGGTGACAGAGCGAGAACCTGTCTCAAAACAAAAAAAAAGTTGATCCACATAGGACTGAAATGATCTCACAGAGCACGCACAGGTAGTAAGCATACCTCTCTTGGGGAAGCACGCCTGCACATGTGTTCTGTATTTCCGTGCCTGCATGTCTGAACACCAGTATCATTCGTGCACATGTGCATATATGTGGGAAGGCCATAGGCTCTGTGTATGTGTGTGTGCACATACATGTTCCCATTTGGGGGTATTTCTGTGCCCATTGTGTTGCGTCCATGCATCTGTGTACTCTGGTGATGATGTGTGTGTGTGTGCGTGTGTGTGTGTATCTGTGGGAGTGCATTTATTTATTATTTATTTATTTTATTTTTGAGACTGGATCCCGCTCTGTCACCCAGGCTGTAGTGCAGTGGTGCGATCTTGGCTCACTCCAACCTTCATCTCCCGGGTTCAAGCGATTCTCCTGCCTCTCAGCCTCCTGAGTAGCTGGGATTACAGGCGTGTGCCACCATGCCCAGCTAATTTTTTTGTATTTTTGGTAGAAATGGGTTTTGCCATGTTGGCCAAGCTTGTCTCAAACTCCTGACCTCAGGTGATCCACTCCCCTTGGCCTCCTAAAGTGCTGGGATTACAGGCGTGAGCCTCTGTGCCTGGCCAGGAGTGTATTTATGACTGCGCATACCTGTACTTGTGACACCACTGGCAGTGTGTTTATCTTTGTATAAGGATATTTGTGTAGTCTCTGGATTCACTCATAACATCATTGCTGGGAGAGACCTTGGAGATGATCTTCCACCCCTCACATTTTACAGATGGGGAAATAAAGGCCCAGAGAAGTGGACACGGATTTGCTCTGCAATCTTGGGCAAGTACTGTGCCTCCTTAGACCTTCATTTCCTCATCTTTAAAATGAGGATAACATGTGTCATGGGTCTGTTTTGAGGACTGAAGATAAAAAACCCTTAGAACAGTGCTCCAGTGAGTCAGCTCTCAAGAAATGTTAGCTGTGATTTTTTTTTTTTTTTTTTTTTTTTTTTTTTTTTTTTTAGACGGAGTTTTGCTCTTGTTACCCAGGCTGGAGTGCAATGACGCGATCTCGGCTCACCGCAACCTCCGCCTCCTGGGCTCAGGCAATTCTCCTGCCTCAGCCTCCTGAGTAGCTGGGATTACAGGCACGTGCCACCATGCCCAGCTAATTTTTTGTATCTTTAGTAGAGACGGGGTTTCACCATGTTGACCAGGATGGTCTCGATCTCTCGACCTCGTGATCCACCCGCCTCAGCCTCCCAAAGTGCTGGGATTACAGGCTTGAGCCACCGCGCCCGGCTAGCTGTGATTATTGTCATTACTGTTATTACTGTCGCCACCATCTAAGAACAGCCAATATGGCAGAACCATGTCTGATGTCTGACAGTCCAGTGTCCACCCCATCAGGAACCCTCTTCAACACAGGTGTGTGTGCACATCTGTATTCCCACACACATCCATCCTTGTAGCAAACAGAAGTGCCTAGTACGGAGTAGACTGCACGGATCTTTGGTTAGGACATGTGACTTGGTTGGCTGCGTGTATCCATGTGTTTGTGTCTTCTGTGAACTTCTGTGCCACCATGTGGACCAGAGGTATATCTGTCAGTTTGTCCCTCTGCACACATCTGTGGGTATCTCTACGACCATGGAACTCTGTGTGTGTGTGTGTGTGTGTGTGTGTGTGTGTGTGTGTGTGAGAGAGAGAGAGAGAGAGAGAGAGAGATGTGCTCTCTATGTATGTGTAAAGAACAGGTGACTTACAGAGTCAAGGAAAGTTTGGGGACAGGAAGGAGGGCTTGGGAGCTTGATACTGGAGAGTTGAGGGTATCAGGGGCTCAGGTTATCCCATCCAGGCACCCCTGACTCTCAGCCTTTTTCTGCCACCAGCGCCGGGTTTATTTTCGACTCTGGAATGCAGCACTGGGGGGTTTCCTGTCAGTGCCGGATCACGTGGAGGACATGAAGGCAGGCCGTGTGGTGGTCTCTGAGCCCCGAGCTGGAGGCAGCTGCATCTGGTACTATGAGGATGGGCTGCTGAAGAATCAGGTACTGATACAGGGGCTGGGACAGGGACACCCTGGCCCTAGGCATTCACAGGTCCACTGTAGGGAGTCCTAGCACAATCAGCAACACAGAGGGATGACACGGAAGCCAGGACCTTGGGGTGGGGGAGAATTCAGACTCTGTACCCCTGGGGAAGTCATGCTCTTCTCTGGGCCTCAGTCTGTAAAACAGAAGCAATGAAGTGAGTGCTTCTAAGGGACTTCCCAGTTCTGATACCGATGACAGAACTTGAGTCCCATTAATAATGGTAGATTTGGCCAGGCATGGTGGCTCATGCCTATAATCCCAACACTTTGGAAGGCTGAGGCAGAAGGATTGCTTGAGGACAGGAGTTGGAGGCCAGCCTCAACATAGTGAGACCTTGTCTCCACAAAATATAAACAAGCTGGGTGTGGTGACTCATGCCTGTAATCTCAGCACTTTGGGAAGCCAAGGTGGGCGGATCATCTGAGGTTGGGAGTTCAAGACCAGCCTGACCAACGTGGAGAAACCCCATCTCTACTAAAAATACAAAAGTAGCCGGTCATGTTGGTGCATGCCTGTAATCCCAACTACTCAGGAGGCTGAGGCAGGAGAATCGCTTGTACCTGGAAGGTGGAGGTTACAATGAGCTGAGATTGTGCCATTGCACTCCAGCCTGGGCAACAAAAGCAAAACTCCATCTCCAAAACACACACACACACACACACACACACACACACACACACACACACACAAAGAAACAAAAAATTAACTGGGCATGGTAGTGCATGCTTGTAGTCCCAGGTACTTGAGAGGCTGAAGTAGGAGGCTTGAGCCCAGGAGTTCAAGGCTGCAGTGAGCCAGAGTTGTACCATTGCACTCCAGCCATGGTGACAGCATGAGACCTGGTCTCTAAAAAAAATTAAAATAAACAAAAAGGTAGATTTAGCCCACACACATTTCTTGAGCACCTACTATGTGCCAGGCTCCATTCTGGATGCTGGGGATACAACAGTGATAGACAGAAAAGATGCCTGCCCTCCTGAAGCTTATATCCTAAGGGGGAGAGATAGACAGAAATAACTTAAATGAGCAGAATATCGTTGTGTCTTAGATGATGAAACTTCAATAGAGGAAGATAAATCATGAAAGGAGAATAGGCGAGGTGTGGCAGCTCACGCCTGTAATCTCAGCACTTTTCGAGGTTGAGTGAGGCAGGAGGATCTCTTGAACTCAGGAGTTCAAGACCAGCCTGGGCAGCATAAGGAGATGCCATCTCTACAAAAAATTTAAAAACTAGCCTGACATGGTGGTATGCACCTGTAGTCCCAGCTACTCAGGAGGCTGAGGTGGGAGGACTCTTTGAGCCCAGGAGATCGAGGCTGCAGTAAGCTGTGATCACACCACTGCACACCAGCCTGAGCAACAAAGGGAGACCCTGTCTCAAAAAAAAAAAAAAAAAAAGGAGAGCCTGGGCGTGGTGGCTCACACCTGTAATCCCAGCAATTTGTAATCCATCCAAGGTGGATGGATTACAAGGTCAGGAGTTTGAGACCAGCCTGACCAACATGGTGGAATGCCGTCTCTACTAAAAATACAAAAAATAGCCAGGACACGCCTGTAATCCTAGTTACGCAGGAGGCTGAGGCAGGAGAATTGCTTGAACCCTGGAGGTGGAGGTTGCAGTGAGCTGAGATCATGCCACTGCACTCCAGCCTGGTCGACAGAGTGAGACTCCATCTCCCCCCACCAAAAAAAGGAAAATAGGAAGTATCAGGTGTGATATGGATGGGAGTCTTTCCTGAGAAGGTGACATTTGAGGGAGGTAGCTGTGCAGATATCTGCGGGAAGAGTGTTCCAGGCAGAGGGAACGGCCAGTGCAAAGGCCCTGAGGCGGAAACATGCCTAGGATTTTCTGGGCTAACAAGGCTAGCTGGGTGGCTAGAGTGAGTTGAGTGAGGGGGAGGTAGCAGGAGATGAGGCCAGAAAGGTTATGGGGACTGTAGGTCTTTGTGGGCTATTGAGAGGTTTTGTCTTTTACCCAGAAGGAGAGAGGTGGCTGATCACGTGCCAGGCTCTGCATTGAGTTCTTCACAAAAATGCCTCCTGTCATCCTTAATCTAAAGTATCATGGGGCAGGCCTTTTTATACTCCCCATTTTTTTTTTTTTTTTTTTTTTTTTGAGATGGAGTTTTGCTCTTGTTACCCAGGCTGCAGTGCAATGTCGTGACCTTGGCTCTCATTGCAACCTCTGCCTCCTGGGTTCAGGCAATTCTCCTGCCTCAGCCTCCTTAGAAGCTAGGATTACAGGCACACGCCACCATGCCCAGCTAATTTTTTATATTTTTAGTAGAGATGGGGTTTCACCATGTTGACCAGTACAGTCTCGATCTCTTGACCTCGTGATCTACCTGCCTCAGCCTCCCAAAGTGCTGGGATTACAGGCTTGAGCCACCGTGCCTGGCCTATACTCCCCATTTTACAGGTGAGGAAATCAGAGCACAGAGAGATTATTTGCTGAAAGTCACGCAGCCAGTAAATGTGTAGAGATTTGTCTGATGCTATAAACCTATGCTTTGGATGCTGTAAACCAATCGTGGAAGGATTCCTGGAGGAGTTAATATTTTTCCAGCCCTTTTATGTTTTCTCACATTGAACCCTCACAAAAGCCAGCATTTGGGGATTCCCATCCCCAAGGAAACTGAGGAGGATTAAGAGGCTTGCCCAGGGCCACAGTTCTAAGAGCCAGGATTTGGAGCAGATGTGTCAAGGGTTTCTTGGGTATGGTGGAGTCCCTCTGGGAGGAACAATGCCTGATGACCTCCCGGGGCCTCAGATGGCCCCCACCATGAGCCTGCAGGTGATTGGACCCCCTAGCCCAGGCTCCAAGGTGGTGCTGTGGGCTGAGAGCCGCCTACCACGCCAGACATGGAGCATCAGTGAATCGGGCCACATCTGCAGCCAGATGTTCGAAGGCCAGATCCTGGATGTGAAGGGTAAGTTGGGATGTTGTGGGGAAGAGACTCCTGAGGGGGCTGAGAGCCGTGGAGCGAGCCCCAGCTCTCTCTGACCACCTCCCTATCTTTTAATCCCTATCCCACCCCCAGGAGGCCGGGGCTACGACCGGGACCACGTGGTGCTATGGGAGCCGGACAAGAACAGGGCGTCCCAGATCTGGACCATCCATGTGCTTTGAACCTTTCCCCCTTATCCTCTAGCCCTGGAGGCTTTGCTGGGATGAATGTTTTTATAGGGTTTTTGTTGTAACATAAGCTATTTTCTAATATGTTGCCAGGTATCCTCATCTCTGTGCACCTTCATATTTTGGGGTGGGGCGGGGATTTGTTCATCGGCCTGCTTCCCTGATGCTCAGGCTGGCTTCTTCCCACCAGGCTCCAGCTTTGGGTTTCAGATGTTAGGCCTCCCTCTGCCATCAGAGGGCGCCCTTGGACCAGATGAACTGGAGAGCGTAGTCTTGCGCAGCCACCCAAATGATGTGTTGCTAGAGCTGGCTCTGAACCGGGCGTGGCTCTGAGCTGGGCGTAGCCCTGGGCTGTGTGGGCACAGACACAAACTGAGCCTCTCGGTCACAGTCCCATTGAGGATCATGTCAGGTAGGGTGATGCATCCATGAGAAGGGAGAAAAGAAGTGGAGGGACTCACACAGCAGGAACGTCACCCCACCAGGCGTTCAGGGCAGGCTGCCTGGAGGAGGGACCCGAGCCTGAGATGTCAGGATAGGAAGGAGTTGGCCAGGCTCCAGGAGGCAGAGGAAGAATATTCTAGGCATATTCTTGGATGAAACATCCCACCTTACCCTTCACATCCATGGGTGAAACAAATGCAACTGCATACAATCCAGGGGTGAAAACCTGCAGGTTAGTGTGATGGGGGCGCAGTGGGCCAGGCACGGGAGATGAGTGTGAGCCACACCCTGAAGGGCTGTGCCCCCAGGGCTCTGCTGCACTCACCCCAACTCTGGTCTTAGAAAAACCAGGACAGGGCCGGGCGCGGTGGCTCAAGCCTGTAATCTCAGCACTTTGGGAGGCCGAGGCGGGTGGATCACGAGGTCAAGAGATCGAGACCATCCTGGTCAACATGGTGAAACCCCGTCTCTACCAAAAATACAAAAAAGTAGCTGGGCATGGTGGCGCGTGCCTGTAATCCCAGCTACTCAGGAGGCTGAGGCAGGAGAATTGCCTGAACCCAGGAGGCGGAGATCGTGGTGAGCCGAGATCGCGCCATTACACTCCAGCCTGGGTAACAAGAGCGAAACTCCGACTCCAAAAAAAGAAAGAAAGAAAGAAAGAAAAGCCAGGAGAGGGCGTCTGGGTTTCTAACCCGGCTCAGAGAGGGAAAGGCATAAAAGAGGAGGAGCTTCCTCTGTCCCTGGATGTCCTCAAAGAAGCTGAGGTGGGAGGAGACCTTGGGGGCTACCCTGGGGCCCCCTTCCATCTCTGCAGCATCCACCTCTGCAGCACCCACTTCCGACGCCCCAAACCCAGGAGGGTAGGAGCGGTCAGAGCAGCTGCTTGCCCTTCCTGCCTTCCTAGCCACTGGGCCAGCATGGGAGGTAAACAGCCACCCATCATCATTCTCCAGCCCCAGGTGCCTGTGGAACTGCTTTGCCGGGGATCTAAAGACCATGCTGAGGGGTGTCCCTGGGACTGGGGATCTCCCTGGGTCTGCCATTCTGAAGATACTTAGGTAGTTGGGTAGCGGCTCTCTGAGCCTGGGATGTCCAGGTTGGTGGCATCTCTGGAACCATCATTCCCAAACACCCAGGGATGGGTGAAACAAATGCAGCTGCAGGGGTTGGTGAGGATGCCAGATTCTGGGCCTTGTCCCTGTGACGTGCTTCTAAGGGGAGGGGCCCTCGGCGTTGGAATTTAGGTAGGGAAGCTGGGGGCTGCTCCCTGGTGCCAACTTCCCTTCTGATGAGGGCATGGGAAGCTCTCTGCTACTGCCCCACAGCTGGCTTTTGGGGCATAGGGATGTCCAGTAACCACACATAGGGTCCCACTGCAAGTACAAGGGTAACTTTATTGATCTCCAACTGGGTGGTACTTGGCCCCTACATTAGTACCCCCCCATTTTGGCCGTTGCCCCCATGGCACTGCCTGTCAATTTCCACAACCTGGTGATGTCTGGCATCAATCCCTCCCAAGGATGAAAGGGGATTCTCTTGCACGTGCTGATGGCAGCTGTTTAAGGGGGCACAGGGCTAAGGCGGAGACGTGTCACGTCAACTGAAACAGAAGAGGTGGATGAGGGTGCTGGCCACGAAGAAAAGGAAACCGCCTCCACTTATGTTGCTGGCTGATGATGGGGCAGGGCTGCTTTGGCTGCTGTTGCCGTTTCCCAAAACTCCAGTTTGTATCTGCAGGAGGAGAAGTGGGATAAGCTCAGGGGACTTTTTTTTTTTTTTTTGAGGTGGAGTCTTGCTGTCACCCAGGCTGGATTGCAGTGGTGAGATCTCAGCTAACTGCATCCTCTGCCTCCCTGGTTCGAGAGATCCTTCTGCCTCAGACTCCTGAGTAGCTGGGATTACAGACTCGCACCCACCATACCTGGCTAATTTTTTTTTTTTTTTTTTGGAGATGAAATCTCGCTTTGTCACCCAGGCTGGAATGCAGTGGCATGATCTTGGCTCACTGCAACCTCTGCCTCCTGGGTTCGAGTGATTCTCCTGCCTCAGCCTCCTGAGTAGGTGGGACTACAAGCACCCACCACTATGCCCAGCTAATTTTTGTATTTTTAGTAGAGACGGAGTTTCACCATGTTGGTCTGGCTGGTCTCGAATTCTTGACCTCGTGATCCACCCGCCTCAGCCTCCCAAAGTGCTGGAATTACAGGATTACAGGTGTAAACCACTCCACCCGGGTTTTTGTTTTGTTTTTGTTTTTTTTTAGATGGAATTTCACTCTTTTGCCCAGGCTGGAATGAAGTGGTGTGATCTTGGTTCACTGCAACCTCCACCCCCGGTTCAAGCAATTCTGCCTCAGCCTCCTGAGTAGCTGTGATTATAGGCACCCATCATTATGCCCAGCTAATTTCTGTGTTTTTAGTAAAGATGAGGTTTTGTCATGTTGGCCAGGCTGGTCTCGAACTCCTGACCTCAGGTGATCTGGCCACCTCAGCCTCCCAAAGGGCTGGAATTACAGACATGAGCCATCATGCCCAGCCACAGAATCTTTCTTTTCACCTCTCCTCAGCCACCAGCCCCTCTGGCATAGAGGGAGATGGGAGCGGGGCGGGGAGGGGGTGGGGGGCGCCTAGCCCTTGACCTTCCTAGCCTGGCAAAGGGCTTAGCTTCCCTGAGCCTCTTTCCTCTTCTGAGCGGGGAGAAGTTCATCACAGTTGTGAAGGTCACATGAGCTGGGGCCGAGTGAAAAAGCACTTGGCAAAGTGTGGGTGGCTGGATGTGGGGTGGGAAAATGCCCAGGTGGTAATCAAGCTGTCCTTAATGCTTGATGGAGCTTCAACTAGAGCTGTTTTTGATGGAGATTAAGCTGGTCTTGATGGTGATCAAGCTGTTCTTGATCAAGAACTTGATGGCTCCTGTCTCCTGTACTGACTCCCCTCTGGGCACCTGGGATTCTACCAAAGCTGCCTCCTGGAATAGCAGTTGCTTTTGAGACTCCAGTTGTTTCTGAAGTGGGAGAGTTCTGTCTTCTTTGCATTCCCGAACATCCAGGCTTCTCTCTGGCATGGGAGTGGGGTCGAGTGTCCCCTGTCACCTCCAGAACCAGACCAGCCTCCCCTTGGACATCTCCTGGCCTCTCCCCAAAGGACCATTTCCCCAGACTCCCTGTGGGCCGATGCCTTCCTCACTCAGGGTTGTCTTCCCAAGTCTCTTAGTTCCCTATTATTCCACAGCACCCCTTGGGTGCCCCAATGCACCTGGCACCCTGTAAGTGCTCCCCAGCTGTGGATACAGGTTTCTATCAGGGCAGCCCTCAAGCAGTCCAGCCCCAGCCGGAAGAGCTGAAAGGCTGGGTGGTCAGGCCCACTGAGTCCCTGATTTTCCTGTTGGAGTCCATCTGCTGTGCTCCCAGGAGAGAAGGCTGGGGCTCTGCCAGCTCACATCCTGTATGCTCCCCCTCCATGCCAAGCAACTTTGGGGAGTTTGCCAGGGGTTGCTCTTACCTGTACCATAACCAGGAGGCTGATGGTGAGGAGGAAGAAGAGGAAGCGCTTCATTTTGGATCTTGGTGGCTGTCCTTGTAGCAGCTTTTGAGGTGATCTCAGGGCTCTCTGGAGGCTGCTTTTGGCTTGGCTGCTTTTGAACCAGGAGGCAGGGGAGGCGGGGTGGGGTAGGGAGAGGAAGGAGGTCCTATGAGGTGGAGGAGGGGTGTGGCTTCCTCTCCTCGGATCTAGCGGTGGATGATACCAGGCCCTAGTTTCTAAGGCCCTGGCTGAGGGAGCAGGCCAGATCCTATGAGATAGGAGAGAGGTAAACCCAGAGGCATCGGTGAGAGTAAGTATGGCCCGAGGCTTGGAGTCATGCATCCTGCAGGCTGAATTCTGGTTTAATCACTGACCAACCCTGAGACCCTGGGCCAGAAACTCTACCTCTCTGACCCTTAAACAAAAGAACTGCTGGATTACATGTAATAACCCATTTTTTAAAAGCCAGCACATAGTAAAATTCCATAAATGAGTTTGTTGTTTAGAGAAGATTGGGGTAGGGGATAGGAGCTGAAGGAGAAAGGTTGGTATAGAGTTGGGATTCAAGGGAAGGCTGTAGATGGGCTGCAGGTTCTGAATGAAGGCTTGGGGAATATTTAGATTGTAGAAGGGATGGTAGAGTTCTGTGAAAGTGCTGGGGGTTAGGAATCAGGAAGCCCATGTTTTAGCTGGGCTTTCTCTAGTCCTCAGTTCCTCATTTCAAGAATTGGGAAGACTGAAATAGATTATTTCTGAAGTTTCTTAAGACTTAGCGTTTTGTTTGTGTGTTTTTATTTTATTTTATTTTATTTTTTTGAGATAGAGTTTCACTCTATCCCGGGCTGGAGTGCAGTGGCACGATCTCAGCTTGTTACAACCTCCACTCCTGGATTCAAGCAATTATCCTGCCTCAGCCTCCCAAGCAGCTGGAACTACAGGTGCATGCCACCATGCCTGGCTAATTTTTTTTTTGTGTGTATATATATATATATAAAATATAATTTTTCATATCTATATATGTGTATATAGATACAAAAAATAAATTAGCCAGGCATGGTGGCATGCACCTGTAGTCCCAGCTACTGGGGAGGCTGAGGCACAATAATTGCTGGAAAC